GGCAATTTATATAAAGTTTTACACAGAAAGTGGAATAAAAAAACTTTTACACACAGAAAGGTAATAAGTTCAATGCTAGTCTGTTGTTTTTTTTTTAATGGAAAACCTATTGTAAGCCCCATGTTACATAGAATTTGGGGGGAAAAGATAGGTTGCATTATTTATAACTTGTGAATTATTAGTAGGCTTATTAATTTTTTTATAATATTATATAGTTAGAATTTTTATATTATATATATATATATATCTATTATGTACATATGAGTGACAACAGATCAGTTTGTTTTTGTTGTTTTGTCTCGACCATAGGTTATTGTCAATTGGAATGATAATTCGTCTCGACCATCAGTTTGTTTTTTTTCGCAGAGAAAGTCTATGATTGTCATGCTATTATTGGATTCTTGAACTTGAGGATCTTGTAAGTATGATATTCTTAATAAAAAACGGAATAGAGATTTTTTCTAATGAAAATAAATAGAAGGTTGAAGAAGCATTATATATTTAAAAAAAAACACTGAAGAAGCAGTGAGTGTTAAATTCGATTTTTTTATATATTTGGGCATGTGAAGTGATGAGTTATATTTTTTTTGAGGTCTATGTTCATTGTTTAAATTCGTGGAATGATGAGATTTTAATTAAATTAAGCCACCCATAATCTCTGTTCACTTTGCTTTGGTGGGTTAAACTATTAGGTGATGCTAATTGCTGGATAACAAATAAATACGCCATTTCAAGCACAGCTTATGAGTTTACGACATTCATGTGATACAACGTAGCGAATAAATTTAACGTTAACATGATACTTACAAATCTATCATAGGATTGGGATGTCGTGGAATTAAAGATTTGATCTTGCACATGTGTGCGTCAAGTATGGATTCTTATCGATTATAAATGCTTTTAGTGATAAAATGCCTCTTTTTTATTTCATTTTATTATTGGAAAGATCTGCATTCTTATTCAAATATACCCTTGGCCTTCAATTTCCTACTTACCCTCTTATCGTTAATATATTTCGCTTTTTATTCAGACATACTAGATATTAACTTATTAAGACAATATATTAATAATTGGTTAGATTACATCATGGAATTTGTCCAAAATAAAAGAGAAGAGTTTCAATACGTTAATTTCCATAATTACATTGTTCCTAATACTCTATCATATTAATTACTCCCTCTATTTTAAATGCATGTCATTTTAAAATATTTCATTGAAATCAAGCAGAAAAGTTAGCTGTTTCGTCAAAATGATATCAAAGTTGAGTAAGTTTTTATTTTTACCCTTAATCAATACCATCAATTAAAAAAAAAACACTGCGTAAAGGATCTAAATTTGAAATTTGCAATATGAGCATTTTTAAAATAAAAGTATCAAATATCCCAAAATTTCATGCAGAGTAATTTAATTACTTTAGGATCGCAAATTTGTTCTAGAACGAAATTTACGCAAAGAATTAGAGGGGGTGTGTTAATTACATATAGAGAGCATAAATAGAATAAAATAATTAATGCAATATACACATCCCAAAAGACTTATTGGAGTATTTAATACTAAGAAATCCTTAATATAAAGGATTAGATTCAGAGAAAGTATTGCTTATAAAGTTGTAATACCTATTCAAATCAACATCATCCTATATGGTTTATTTTGACAGCTAGCCTTTTTAATTTTTAATTTTTATGTTCTTTTTTATCGTTCATTTCATTAAGCGTATATAATACATATTGATCTTGGAAGAACAAATGGTCTTTGCAACTTTACATGATTGGCTTTTAGCACGCCTTCTTGTGTGCGCGGGTGTGATATAAGACTGCGAAGAGATTAACAGTTTATGATAGTGAAATCTGACGAAAAATAAATCTCTATACGCCAACTATTTTTTTATCATTTTTAATGAATTACTACAAAATTAATTAATCGCGTCACAATTTAATGAATTACTCTCGAGTTGAATTAAAACATTAATATTTAATGCTAGGATATACATCGAACTTAAATTTGCAGAAGCTTTTTTTTGTGAAGCATGTATAAGTGTGGCTCTGATATTATACCCTAAATTGATAAGAAACGGTCAGGTTCAAATGTTTGGTTGGGAATTAATTAGTCGACTTGGGAACATGTTCAGAATGACATTGTTCTTAGCGAGGGTCATAGGGAAGCTACATGGAAGTTGAAGCAAAAATGGTCAATTTTTGGTCAAATCTACTTACAATATGTTGACCCAAATGTAGAAACTTCGCATTGCAAAACAATGTAAGTATTCTTTTGTGGTTGGCTTATTGTAATAAGTTGCTCACTAATGCAAGTCGAATGAAATGTGAAATGCATATGGATAACTGATGTCAAATATGTAATGATGATGTTAAAGATGTTCTTCATTTGTCTAATTTTCCTTATGTATCCAATACTTTTTAATTGAGAGTTAAATAATTAATGCTTCAAAGCTGATACTTCAAGAAAATTTTTAAAAAATTAAGTTTTTTTAAAAATTGAGATATTAAACTTTTTATTAGTAATATCTTTTTTGAGACATTAACAAAGATGAATGAAATAACTTTGATGATATTGAAAATTTTAAGAGTGGCAAACTTATTTCTGATGAACTTAATATAGAAGCTATTCTATTTTTAAATGATAGTCAAAAAGAAGATATTAATATTATATCAGTTATTATTGACTAAACATTATGTAATTAGGTATATATAGAATAAACATATAATTAATAATTATGTTTTGCTTAGTATTACTATAAAGCATTATATATGTATGCTACTTTGGATATTTTTTGAATTAAAATTATATTTTTAATGTTTTTATGATATTTTGCACGTATAAAAAACGTCCTATAATTTTAAAAATAAAGGTATCTGTGCGTCATAGTCCCTGCCTCCGTCTAACAGTATTTAATTTAAACATCTACTTAAGGTTTCTTCTTCACCTAAGATTGAAATAGGAATATTAGACACAGAAAAATAGTATTATGACATATTTCAATTGTATAAATATGTATAGTTTTTCTTTTTTTGCAATTCACACACACGCACACATTTCGAGGCAAAAGAAATTCGTATGTGTACATACAAGAGCGAAGTATGTGGCGCGAAGTCCAGGTACAGGGTTCGTTTATAAAGTGAATGTGTTTTAAAAACTAATATCAATTTGTCAGCGCACACACGCACACACACAGAGGTTAAAAAGATGAAGATTATGGAGATCTGCAAAGTAAAAAGGATACCATATACCACATACCACATAGAAAAAAAGGCAAGTGACTTTTTACTGGGCTAGAGGTTGAAAGTCAAAGCCAAGGACCTTGTATCTCGCGACACGCTTAATGCCCAGAAATGTTACCGACATCCACAAAAATCATTTTTTTCTTATTTATTTTTATTAAATGATGAAATAATTTTTTCTCCCGAATGACTTATAAATAAGGGTAGAGGGATTACTCTCGTCGTTTACGCCTACAGTGTAATTTTACCTATTTTATACCAACAAAAAAAAAGTAATTCATATCTCTAAAACTATTCATCTCCACAAATTTCCTCAAATAAATACTATCCTCTCTTTATCAATCAATTAAAAGCATGTATTTTTAAAAATATATTAATTATTACATAGATTTGGTAAATTGTCTTATAAATAGGGACAAACGGTTCCCATGTATTAAGAACACAATTTTCAAATTTGAGGATTTAATTTAGATTTGGTGAGTGGATCCACTCACTCAATGAGTTCTCATTATTTTCATTAGATTTTATCAACATTTAAAAATTATCAATATATATCTTTAAAAAAAAATTCAAAAACAAAAACTCACTATTATAATACCTATTACATGCGCTATCCCTCCAAAACTTTAAAATTCTTTGCTTTTTGAATACTATATAACAATCTTTAACAGCTGGTCGAACCACTGTGATGGTGTCACATATTGGATATTTATGAGTAAGTAGATTTATGCCACCTATAGAATCCAAATTCCAAATTTAAGGGGGGAAAACAGAAATCCAAAAATTGGAGGAAATTAATTAAAGAAAATTATTGTTAAAAACTTGGAAAAATAATATTTATTATAAAGGACCATAAAAATTAAAATTAGGCTGAAGGACCAAGACAAATGTAATTGACTATTATAACCTTAATATAAAATCTGTCAATAATACCTTAAAATTAATGGTATGGCATAAGTTACAAAAAAATAAATCTTTTAAAAATAAAGTTGTGTGGATTTCAATTCCACACAAATAAAAACAAAAATATAGTATTGAATTTAATTGAATCAATATATTGTTGAAAAATAATTAATTGAATATAGTTTTAAAATCGTTACTTTTAAAAAAATTAAATAAATACAATTGAAAACATATTTTAAAATTTATTATAGGACTTATTTGTGAATCTTCAAGGCACAAAAAAGATTTCATTTGTTTTGATTTTCTTGTTTATTTATTATTATCAGTAACGTAATTGTCAAATTCAATCTGAGATGTGATTAAACAAAATATAGAAAATTATATTTTGGTATTCAGTCATTCTCAATAGTTACTATTTTTACGTTCCTCTTCAGAAAATATTATTTTCTCCATATTCTTAGCAATAATTTTCCCTCAATTAATTAAGAGCAGAGATCGCGCCAGACAGACGCGGTTTGCAGGAGGCCCCCCCAGGCAAAGCAGGCAGGCCTAATCGGTAATTACACGAATATACCAAAATGTTATTGAGGAAGAAGGGAAAATACAAAGAAGAATATTAAAGCAGGCAGGAGGAGTTCGAAATAGCAGTTAAGGGCCCCATCACCGCACTTGTCACCTCGCCTTCCTCCTATAAATACTCTCCCCTCTCCCTTCTCTTCTCTCCCCCTCTCCCACCTTCTCTTCCCCTCTCCCATCCTCGGTAAGCTTCTCTCTCTCTCTCTCTCTCTCTCTCTCTCTCTCTCTCTCTCTCTCTCCCCCCCTCCTTCTTCATGTTTATATCTCCTCTCCTTCTTCCCATTTTTCTCTTCTTCTTCTATATTTTTCTTGTTTTTGTTATTTAATTCGTTGAATCTGTCGGCGTGATTTATGTTATTCTGCAATTTCATTTCTTACGGTTTTTTTTTTTTGTTGGGGACTATTTCTCAGCTCTTACTTACTTCACATCTCCTCGCATTCTTTATTCATTTTGATGCCCTTTCTGTCACGTCTCTCATTATTGACACTAACCGTCGCCTTTCTTTATTTCCCTATCCTTCAATTTATATCAGGCTATCTATCACCCCTTATTTTATTCCATTTTCGTTTTGATATTGGCCCGAAATTATTAGATTCTGGCACGGCCATCCACAAAAGCGGTTGTAATTCGTTTTTCTGTTGCCCTTTTTCTCTCCCTTCCCTAAACAACCAGCACTCCCACAACGTTTCCCAACGCGCTACTTCTGGGCGCGTGTTTCCCTTCCCCACAACCCTCCTCCGAGGTTAGCTTCGCGCGCTCTTATGGGCCCAGTCACCCCTCGTGTGCCTGTCCTCCTCCGGTTCTGCAGGTTTTTCCTTTTTCCTTTGGCGTCAATTGCTGTGCAGATTTTGCAGGTGTCGAGCTTGCGCACCGTACGCGTGTCCAGGATGGGCCATGTTTGACTGGGCCTTGCCGGTCCGCTTTCCGACATTGTCCAGAGGCGTTGGTTTCCGAGATCTGGACCCCTCCGCGACCGCTGTGGGCACCGGGCGTACAGGATGTTGCCACGTGTTAGAAGATCTGCCAATGTGCCTGCATAGGCCCTAGCTAACGACGCCGGTAGCCCTGGGTAAAAGGACATTGACATTTACCTACGAAACGGTTAGGAGGTGGTCGTAGTACTTCTGAATTCTGATAGTAGCATGTTCCCTCAGCCACTTGCTTCGTTGCAGCCTCTGTTGCATGCACTTTGCTTACCAGTGTCGAATCCCTCACGATACATATCTCTTGTTAATTTTGGCCCCCCTCATTGATTGCTGGATTGCGAAGTCTTTTTTTTTTTCCCCCTCAAAATTGATTCTGGAGAAGTGTGCAGCATCTGGAGCCTGAATAGAGAGGTGAAAATACCGCCGAGCGGTTTGATGGTTGCCTGGCTAGCTAAGAATCTCTATCTATTCTTTCTTTCTTTTTTTGGCGGTGACTAAGAACTCCATTCTATATCTTCTTACTATAACACTACCAGGATTCATTATATATATTATTACCTGTGAGTCTGTTTTCTCTCAATCTTGTGTTCACTGGATCATCGACCGAGGATCTGAGAGACCGTACCGGGGCCAATAGTTTATTGTTTGAACAGAGTATTGACCTTGATCAGTTAATATGTACCCACTGTCGTTTCAACCCTAGGCGGCTGTCCTTGTACGTAAACTTCCCATATCAGTCCATTGTTCGTCCGTTCAATACTTGTTGATTGTGATTATAATATCTAGGTGATGACCGGGGAGGCTTGACATACAAGAAAATCTTTCAGATCCGCTCGGTGTCTTCAAGTAAGACATGCCTCGGCCCCTCACAATTATTTAATTATTGGTTTGTTTGGACATATTCTGACATGAATATAATATGTGACCGTGGTATACTTAATATATATAAAGGCCCGACTACACATTTCCCAGAAGACTAGTTGATCTGGTTATTATATTCTTCTGCCGAGGGAGTTCAATCATATTCTGTAGATCCGAGTTGTTTTTCTAATATATACTTTACTTTTCGTCCTGGGTAGCGAGCCCGGTGGTGAGGAATTGTTATGCTCAGAGACGTGTCGTCCTTAAAACTCCTGGATGCTTAAGCTTTTTGTGTCGACCATTTAGTTAGGTGACACGTAAATGGAAAATATCTTTAGAAAAATTACATTTAAAAATCATTCAAACAAATTCAAACAAGTTTATGTAAATATTTTAACAATAATTATTTGTATTGAATATATGAATAATTTATTTTAATAGTTCTTGAATGTGATTTTCCTTCTATGTTTTGTCTTCTCTTATTATCATTATTAAACTAACATCCAGGAGGTTACTTTTTTCATTGTTAAAGTTTTTGGTGTTCACACTTTCGGTTTCAAAAGTCAAGTCCTTTTGTTCTTGTCATATCTTCCCCTTTTTATTTTTTTAACAGATAAAAAAGTACGAGTAAGTTTCTGGTTTCATAGGCTACACGTATAATCTTGTTGCGTGGCATTTGTCCGCTTCTTCTTCTTCTTCTTTTTTCCGCTTTGTTTGCTTGTGATCTTTCTTTTTCATTTTCTTAAAAAAAAAAAAAAACTGCTCACAAACTTATGGTCTGTTCTTTCTAAGAAGTTCACCAACCAAACCAAGCTTCCAGCCTGTTTTTCTTTAGCAAGTTTTCTCAATTCTGGAGTCTGTGGGTATCAGTCCTGTTATTTTGAACCTGAAATTAGAACACACACACACACACACACACACACACACGCACACACACACACACACATAAAGAAACAAGTGGAAGAGTCTGTGGGTATGGGAAAGCAAATAACATGACTGCACTCACTTGGACACACATGTATTGTTGGCAATCATACACAGCTGGTTCAAGTTTCAACTATATATTATATATTTTTAATCAAATAGCTTGGCGTTACGACGGAAGTTAAATCTTTCATAATTTTTCGTGTAGCAGTTAAGTTCCGATTGCGTTCTTTATATATTTATATTTTTTAAGGCTAAAGTTTTGTTTATCCAATGGCAGGAAAAACCTACTATCATTTTAGACTCCTATCATATGCGTTGTTCTAAAGGAAACCTTTTTTTTTTTTTTAAGAACTTGTTTCCTCTTTGTTACATGAACTTGAAAGACAGCACACAGATGCTGTAGACTCGCTTCGCAGCACTTTCTCCTGTATTCTATGGTACTCATTCTTCATAATATATGTAGTACGTAGTAAATAATTTCATTATACTTACAGGCAATGCCATCTTAACTGGGGCTCTGTAATAGCTGTCCATAACCAGAGCCACACATTTTCCTGTTCACCATTTGGTATTATGCTTGGTTCGTCAAGCTCTCTGTTTCTACCAGGATGATCCTGTAGGGCACGTATTATGTTTCTTTAAACATACCTACATACTGGAAGGTCCTTTTCTTAATAATCTAGTTCGTCTGAATCCAACTGACGATATTGTTGTTTACTTGTTACTGATGTTCCCGTGAAGCCATGACCTTAACGGAAAGCAAATCAAACTCTAGTTTATATAATACCGTTGAGTGGAGCCAAAAAGGTAAGGGACAGAGACAGGGAGGTTAATTATGGCCTCGATGTAGAATTGAACTTGGAGTCACTCTCATCCGACTCAGAATCACTCTAATACCTTACTTTAGGACGCCACTCTTTCAAATCTAGCCTTTATTATGTATTTGGACAATTCGTCATTTCAACTGCTGTTTCAATTAGATGAGCATAGCTCTTTAGTTATCTTTCTTGTCGTTTTATCGTTTACACTTGTACTTCCTTAGTGGTTTAAACCAAACAAAAGAAAAATCCTCCCTCTTAGAAAACGACCCTATTGTCTGTTTATTATTATTTGGCCCACAGAAAAACATCTGTAAAGCTCATGGCTTACTAACTTGACGGACGAAAATGACTTCCACAATTTTTTTTGGGTTTCTTTACGGATTTATATTATATACAGGCTTTGAATATTGAACTGACCAGTACTTGATTTTGACGGACACATATACTCTCTTTTTATTTTTCATCGTTCGCTACAGGTCATCGACACCGACTTCCAATTATTTTATGTGTGATATTTTAAATTCCATTTGTTGGTGGTGGTGGGGTTAGAAGTTGCAGAACAAGTAGATTTTCTCGCAGCCCAAGAGATTTCCATCCAGGAGCATCTTGAAGCTCATAAGAACAGAAACTATTTTTTTGGCGGACAATTGCCTGACCTGTTCTTTTCCCTTAAAACATGCATGATCAGACGTTTTCTTTTCTTTGTTACAAAATAAAATTGAAATGATTCAATCACGTCATAGATGAATGCAAACTGCACATTTGCAAGTAAACTAGTATATCCTGCTTTCTCGATCACCAATTGACAAAAAAACAATGAATACAGAATGAAAGGGTCTTTATTTATTTATTATTCATTTTTCGATTGAGGGATGAAAAGGTTTTACTTTTAGGGATCGACGTCCCTCGTCAGTCAACCTCAATGACTCCAATCGTGGGGCCCACCTATATGTCCCCTTACGTTGGGCCAAATCTATGAATCGCTAATTTGCTTCTTTTTAAGTGGGAAATATCACATATAGGGGCTAAGACTGTTGTTTATTAGTTTTCGGGCCTTTAGCCCATCAAATGGCACATATATGACCCTTCTCTCTCTCTCTCTCTCTCTCGCGTAAAATACACCGAGTTGTTTTATTACTAATACTAATGTTAAGGATTTAGATTAAATTCCTGTTCGGTCTTATATATTCGAATCCTTTACTGTTCTCTTTTCAGGTAATCAGCGTCGGAAAGAATTGAAAAGAACTGGTACTGGAGAATTACAGTGTCAATATGAAATACATGTTCCTTCTCATTGTCACGTTCAAGGTAATAATCGAAACGGGCCCTTTTTCATTAAATAAACAGTATTATAATATTGAATCTGTAATTTTCCTCTTGTCTTGTTTTTCTGCCCATAGATTATCAAGAAGAAGTTAAGCAAGCTGCAAGGGGCAATGGGATTCCAAACACCCAATTCAAGCAAACCCAAACTGCAGCCGGTTACCAAACCCATTTTGTCCTACGATTCATGGATGGTTTGTTTGAACCCAATAAGGGCTTTGTTTTCTTTTGAAGAAATTTAAAAAAAAAAATACTGTATACTAAATTACTCAATGAGTGTACGAACATTGTCACCAATTCATGAAAATCATACAAGTTGATATAATGAGATTGATAGGTGTATGATTTAATGAACAGGCGAGACATCCTTCAGCGTTGCGTTCATTTGATAGACTGATGAAAGCGGCAAGTGGGAAGGACATGGTTGTGTTTTTAGACTACGATGGCACCTTATCACCTATTGTGAATGACCCTGATTGTGCTTTTATGTCTGAGGAGGTACAGACATTTTTTTCTTTCTTCGTTTTTCTGGTAATACTATTCCTGTAAGACTTTTCTTCAACTTTGAGCAATGTGAATGTGGTGATCAATCTCAATGCCAGATGCGTGCAGCAGTGTGCGAAGTTGCTAAAAATTTCCCGACAGCAATAATTAGTGGAAGAAGCAGAGACAAGGTGAGTTAAGAGCAGACTTGACTAATTTGATCTTCATAGATAATTATTTTATTTTGTATCCTTATTCTCTATCTTGTGATGCAGGTTAAAGGATTTGTGAAGTTAAATAATGTGTATTATGCTGGAAGTCATGGGATGGATATTATGGCACCATCAATGCCAGCTAGATCCTCTGATGGCGACCACTATAACATGGCCCTCGACACCACGAAAGTGAGTCACTTGATCACTGTCTCGATCTGATTTCTTTTGTTCTTTATTATTTTTCTTGTCCTTCAACATGTGAATTGCATTCATGGAGATAATGTGCTCATGGATTCACTCTCTGCTTTTCCCTAATGATTGAACCCGATTAACATAAATCTGTGTCCATTCATAGGATAATGGAGTTCCCTTTCAACCTGCAAAGAAATTTTTGCCTGCAATTAGAGAGGTCAGATAAATTCAATGGGCACATATTTAAGTGGCTCAATATTGCTTCATATTTGTTTGATTTAGCTTGAGTAATCCCCACCTGAACAAATTTTTAACTAATTAATTTGCGTATTTGACAACTTATGTGCAAAACAGATATTGAAAGTATTAGAGAATGAAATAAAAGGCATACAAGGTGCAAGGATAGAGGACAATGGATTCTGCATTTCTGTACACTTCCGGCAAGTGCAAGAAAAGGTAACCCTTTTCATTCTTATTGTTCATCATCATTCTCTGAGAACATCAAGCAAGCAAGCAACTACAGCTATTTAATTTTTCCGTACTGATCAGTTAAAAAGTAGTTGTTGATTGTACACACACACACACACACACACACGGGGTCAGGACTACCTTGAATTAGAAGAGAAGGTGAAGTCTGTGCTCAAAAGACATCAAGACTTTAGCTTATCTGAGGGCAAAAAGGTACAAGAACAACATGTCCAATACAGACAGATAACTACCATCAATCTTAGTACTTTGAGTGGTTAGTGATCAAAGTATTAATTCATATTATAGGTTCTGGAAATAAGGCCATCCATAGAATGGAACAAAGGTCACGCCCTGGAATATTTTCTTGACACGCTAGGGTTAAGCAGTTCCAGCAATATCCTTCCAGTCTACATTGGTGATGATCGAACCGATGAAGATGCTTTTAAGGTTTGAATTTGAGCTGGTGTCATTGTGATCACATGACTATATCTCTAACAGAAGTAATTAACGTGATATTTATGTATGTGAACATTGTGTAGGTGATACAGGAGAGAGGACAAGGTTATCCAATTATAGTATCTTCAATTCCAAAGGACACACGAGCTCTGTACTCTCTGAGAGATCCGTCAGAAGTGCTAATTTTTCTGTCACGTCTGGCGAAATGGAGGAAAACCATTATTGGCTCAAATTAGCAGCATGCCTCTGAATTTTGGTTAAGGGGTAAATTAAGTCATGAAATTGCGATTTTTTTTTGGGGGCAGTGACTAACTTCTTTCCCACTGTAGATTTTGAAAAAAGTGGGATAGTTGTTAATCTATATCTAGCAGCAGCTGGCTCAGAGTTGTAACTTGTAAGCTAAGTTTTTGTATATTTACTACAGCTTGTAAATACGGTTCAAGAAAGAGAGTGTTGCTGCTCTTGCTGCTCCCTAGCTTTTATCTCTCAGAAGCAGCGCATTGAAAGACGCCTGTAATTTGGACATGCAAGTTTGCTTAATTATTATTACTGGTGTTGAGTGATTTTGACCTTTGACTTTTTGGTGTGGAGTTAATTCTTGTATTTTGACATACACACATATTAAATCTAGCTAGCACTAAAAGCAGCTAAAACGCAGGAGCTTGCATACCGAAGCAGAGATTATAACAAAAAATGGGACAGTTTATTTGTTTGTTTGCAAACGAAGTAATCTGTACGCATAGTAAAACTATACAACAGATCGAAGCACTAAATCTAAAAAATATGGATACAGTGCATGTTTGCGCCGAACAACTGTAAAAAACTGCGTTGAGAATAAGGGTATTAGACTATTTCTTTTGAAAGTAAACATAAAAAGAAGTTTCAACTGTTTTCTTCAGTTCGCTCTCTCTCTCTCTCTCTCTCTCTTCTTCTCTCTCTCTCTATATATATATATATATATATATAAAAACCAGCTGATGGTTGCACAGATAAATCGGTAGCAATTAACATGTCATTCTGAATATTTTTACATTTGCAAAATAAATTCTTGCATTATACTGAAAGTAACTGAAACTGAAAGAAAAGCGACGATAAATGTAAAAAAATAAAAATGGAATATAAACTTTCACATAATACAGTATCTTTGGGTGTACATGTTATTTATGATCTGTTTAATTAAAAAATTTTAAATAATCTAAATAAAATTTTATATGACATTATTTTAATAAATTTTATTTTTATAATAAAATGTATATTTAATTTATTATATTTTTTTTATTTACTATCATTAATTGCATAATCAATTTATATTTAATATTATTTAAATATTATTTTTTATTAGACAAAGCATACGTTCAAAAATGTAAGATATCTTTTAAGGAGTTTAATATTAAAAAATGTAAGGCATTTTTAGTCTTTTGAAGTATAATCATTTTCTTTTTTTTTACAAAAGTGCCCCTATTGATAATGAATTTATATTTATTGTAGGGTGTTTAATAGGAGTAAATGTAAAAAAAAATAAGATTAGTTAAAAAGTAAATAAATATTTTATTGAGAGGTGAGATTCAATTAAAAATATTTTATATTTTTAAATGGAGCAAGTAGATGATATGAGACACCAATCTATATAAAAATTCCTCCTCCACCTTATCCCTGCAATAATGAATATAGACCGCTCATAATTAGCAGCAAGTGGTGTAATCTGAGACAGAAAGAGATACTATTTTTATGGTTCTCCTACATAAGTTAATTTGTATACATGTGAAATTGATCAAATTGTTTCAAAATTACCCTTATTTGCAATTCCTTAAGATTTTTCTGTTCTGAATCCATACTTTTAAGCAGGGATAAACTTAAAATATCAGTTTATTTTAACGCCATTTAAATGCATGATATAACGCAACTACCTAGTTTGGATAAGATAGTTGCAAAAGATCTAATAGTGGAAGGAGCACTTTGCTTTGACGGGAGAAGAAAACGACAAACGTGGAAACTGAGACACGTATACCTCGTAAACAAAAGACGAGGCCAAGTTTGAACCTAGAGTTGAGAGTGGCATGAGAAGCACACAAAAAGCACTTTCTGAGAAAAACAGAAGGGGCAGTTCTGAAAAGAAGGGGAAATCAACGAAGGAAGGGCCCTCAGTTTTGTTTTCCCTTTCCAGGGCCAACATCGACCTTCTCTCTTCAACTGCCCAGTTCATGAACCTGATCCTGCAATTTAGAGGGCGAATTTCCGACTCCAGCATTCAATATCCAAAGTCACATCCGGAATTTGTCTGGTCTAATCTGAATTGAGGTGAGTGAAGATAGAAACGCGGAATATACTTTAATACTTGGAACTTGGACCAACTGGCTAGTTCTCGAGTCTGTACAAGGATTGTGATTTTTGATTGTGTATCACTAAACTAGTGATACGCGTACATGCTCACAAATTACGGGCTCTTTTTTTTATTTATTTATTACTTTTGATGGCAGAAGTCTCCTGAAAGTAAATTATATTGAAGCACGGTAGACTTGAGAGCTGAGAACCTTCTACAGATTAATCCACTTAATGCTGATCACGGGTATGGTGTGAGTGCCTGTGGAATTTAGTTTTAGAATAGAACTTCATTGCTAAGTACAGATCATCATCAACTATGAGGAATCAACATACTCATCAATCATAATAAATTACATTTACTCATGAGTCATAACTCCATCCAGTCCTTTTTACGACGATTAATTTAGTTAGTTAAAATTAGTTAATTCTTTTAAAATTTTAAAATTACCCTCAATAAAAATAATTAGTTATAAGAGCTTGTTTATTTAGTTAGTAAAGAAACTTTGTAGTTAATTAAAAATATCAGGGGAGAAACTAAGGTTTTAGACAAAACGTCATGTAAGAAACATGCAAGAGTTTCTTATAAATAGGTCCCGAATTACTATTATTTATTTAAAATTTTACGCACATGTAAATGATCCCCTAAAAATCTAAAATGCCCTTTGAGATCTCTCTTTCTTATTTTGTTTGGTTTGTTATTTGCTGAATTAACTGTTAACGATGCCTTCAAGGCTTCAACTTCATTGGCCTGAAATCCATGTTGCGCCATAAATAGGCCATCGAAAATGAGGAAAGACAAGTGAACATTCCCTGCAGTTTCTAACAATTAATAAAAGGTAAATGTACTTTTTTATCCTCAATAATTTTTTCAATGCACACCCAGCACCTTAAGGCATTTTGCGTGACATTTTTGTCCATGACATAGTTAATTCAGTGCACGCGTTATTCTGACGTTAAATCCACACCAGCTCTATTAAAAATTTTTTTGTGGGTCCCATTTTATGTGACGGCTTATCATCTCCCACCGGTGATGATTCTTCCGTTGCCACCTCAGTATTCAACATTATCATCTCCCTCCAGTGCTGAGACCATTGAGACTACACCCTCATCACACACTCTCCTCTTTTCCTCATCGTCGGTCTCCTACTTCCAGCGAAACTCAAAGCTCAGCAGCCTCTGCCATCACTGTCTACCTCGAAGCTCGCATCTCTGCCTCATCCTCCATTTCTATCATTGAATCTCAATGTCTTCATCTCCCTCTCTCTTCACAGCCATTGACCTCAAACCTCATCCTCGCTAGCAATAGTTTTTGCAGAAATGAGGAGGATGAATATGTTATCTTTGTGAATAGAAATCGATGCCTGAGCCTCCGACAAAACTCAGCTGCACTGTAGCCGTCTTCCCTGTTTTGATCGCATCCCCTTATCCTCTAACCATGAATTCTGTTGCTTTCTTTCTGGTTTCTAACCTCCGACCAAAACCACAAGATTCGACTCTAGGTACAACGTTGAAGGCATGAGATTTAAGGCTGCCGGAAAGCCAATGTTCTCTTTGGTTTCTCTGCCACACTGGTGGCTTTGAGCTTGAACTATAGGTAGCCATTTCCTGCGAAAATCCCAACTCTAAATTACATTTGTGCCCTTTCTATTTTAGTCAATCTAGTTTCACCTTAGCATTCAGGTTTTTGTCCAACTAAGCAAGTCAAACGATCAACGTTTAAAGATTTAACATTAAGATAACGGTTCACCGAATTAATTACATATTGGGCAAAAATACTAAACAAAATATTTTAAAATATTAGGTGCTCTTTTAAAAAAAACACTAAAGATAAAAATAAACATTTACCCATTAATAAAGCATAAACTCACTCTCTTAAATTTAAATTTAAATAATAATTCTTTATGAAGTTCTTCATTCGAATACTTTATCATATCAATAAAAAAATAAAAGTTTTGTCCAATAACTTAGCTGGGATGATTGTTGGCCAAATAAAAAACTAGGATGATTTTTAAACATTACTTCTATGGTCTAATATATAAGTTATCTTTTAAAAAATATAATTTAACTCATTTTATAAATCATTTGTTAATGAAATTATTTTATTTTAAATTAAAATTTTAAAATATTTTTAAAAAATAAAAGAGAGATAAAAAATAACATTATATAATTAATTTATTTTTTATTTAAAATTATGTTTAAAATTTTATTTATTTATTTTTATATCTTTAATAAATTAATATTAATAATATTGATAAAAATAATTTATAAATGGGGTCAGAGAAAAGATTGGTGAAGAAGGCGTAAATATGAAGAGAAGTGGAGGGCAATCTAGTCGGGAAAACGACAGTTGCGGAAACAGACAAAGCAATGGCGTGTTTGTAATGAGACGATCAAGTGGAAGGCCTGTCAACAAAATTGATTGATTTGCCCTTTTGTTGTTTATATAATATTTGAATTTTTGATATCGCAGTAATAATCTTCTTGGCATAAAAATTTTCTTCTTTTTAAGATAAAATAGGGGACCTGCGAAGCGGTAGTTCATCGATGGCGCTGACCCTCATCCACCTCGTTCTCCTGAAATTGGTTCCTTTTCTGGAAGCTTCCGTCTGCGGCGATCTTAGCTCAGTCTAACTGATATCGGGGATTTTAGTGCGTGGCGGCGCCGATTCGATCCTGCGTCCTAATTTCATGGTGGTTGTTGGTTGTTTCTTGCGGAGATTGGAAGTTTATTAGAGGTCGTGTGGCATCGGTTCTTGCTTGGAGAGAAAGATGATGAATGGAAATATTAATGGGTTTGGGAATACAGCATTCAGCAGTTTGGAGTTAGAGTACATAAGGAGGCACCATAGACACGAACCCGGAGAGAATCAGTGTAGTTCTGCCCTCGTTAAACATATCAAAGCGCCAGTCCCCCTGGTAAACCCTTTAATATTCGATCTGTGAGCTTGTGTTTCTCTGTTCAGTTGTAGTTGTATGTGTATGTGTAAAGAACTAAAGATGTTTGCTTGCATCACTATAATTGAGTTATGGTTAATGCGAATCTGGAGTGTGTTTTCCTTCTTAGTTCTGGTATTAAGGTATTCCTTCCCTGGATTTTGATTCTTGGGATCGGCGGATAGTTTGGACGGTGGATTTACCAAGGTTTTCTTGGGATCAGTGTTTCGAATTTGTTGTTGCTGTTTGCGACTTTGTACTTTCTTCGTCGGTTTCCCCCTTTTTTGGGAGTGAGTGGAGTTGATTGGGAGCAGCCACGGGATTATGACCAAAGGTCAATGAATTTGAACTGATTTTATCGCAAGCATTTGAATATTCTTACCCCAAAAGGGGAGAAGGTAGCATTTGAATATTTCTCATCCTGTTTTTGGCCTGTCTTTTGGTCGGCATGTTACTCAAGACCATATGATCTACTATTAATTTTGTCAGTCTCCCGCAACAATTGTTTGTATTAGGTTATAGTTAAGCGGACTACCAGAGCAAATAGCCGTCCTGCACTAAACAATCCTTTTCTTACCTTTGATTGAGTGAAAGATATTGTTGAGTGCCTTTGCAAGGTTCTTGATGTTTGATGCTCTGCAGTATAATATATATTTAAAGTCTGACTAGCGAGAACCGGCAACCTAAAATTTTGTTCTATTTTGTGTTCCTTTTTGTTAATAGGGCTTGGCTTGTTGCTTTTGTTTCGTCTTGTCTTGTTTTTGTTTTTTTAGTTAGTTTGGCATGCTTCTTGATAACAATTTCAGACTTCTGGACTTATTCTGTCATTTCCCGCTCTTTAGTTATATCGCTTATAGTTTATTAGGTTGTTTCCGGGATTGCTTATTTATGGTTTATAGATTTGCTTTCTCTAGGTATGGTCTTTGGTGAGGAGATTTGACCAACCACAAAAGTACAAGCCTTTCGTGAGCAGATGTGTTGTTAAGGGTAACCTTGAGATTGGGAGTCTAAGAGAAGTTGATGTTAAGTCAGGGCTTCCTGCTACTACAAGTACTGAAAGATTGGAGCTTCTTGATGACAATGAACATGTACTTAGCATCAGGATTATTGGTGGCGATCATAGGCTTAGGGTATGAAAGATCTTCTTGTTGAGTAGTAATTAACTAATTATTGTCTGTGATTGAGTTAGAATTTTGCATTTGAATTTTTTTACTTCTTCTGAAAAATAAAAGGCATCTATATCCACTTTGAAGGGAGCACTCTTAATGCATTTTTGGTGCCTCCTTCGAAGTGCTCAAAATTTACTTGTTCTTCCCCTTAACGTCCTTGAGCCGAACAACAATTTAATTTTTGGAAGAAATATATTCGTATTTAATAACTTTTGACAATTTGGAATATCTTTAGTGATATTGGCAGCCATAACGAGGTCTTTTTTAGTTAAGAATTGATTGATCAAGTACTAAATTTTATCTGATGTCAAGATATTTTTTTTATATAAGATCCTCAATGAATTAAACGATTGTTGAACCCTGTAAATGAAATGATTTCGGTTTGCTGGTAAATTAATTGCAAATGCACATCTGTAAGTTGTTGACTTTAACAACATAGCCCTTCTCTTCCTGCAAATGATGGTTTTTGGCTAGCAATCTAAGAAGTATCTTTTAATCTTCAGAACTACTCGTCTATTATGTCTCTCCACCCAGAAATTATCGAGGGAAGGCCGGGCGCACTTGTAATTGAATCTTTTGTGGTGGATGTACCTGAGGGCAACACTAAGGACGAGACCTGCTACTTTGTTGAAGCCCTAATAAAATGCAATCTCAAATCACTGGCTGATGTCTCGGAAGGGCTGGCTGTGCAGGATCGGACCGAACCTATTGCTTCGATGTAGAATTATGATAAGCAATGTCGGAACATGGCTGCCATGGATGAAGCTTCAGGGGCTTTCCAAGCAGGGAGGGCTTAGGAGACAGACTGGCAATGATTCTACTTCCATCTATCAGAGTAGCAATGTTGTTACTTTGGTTTGCTATTTCAAAACTTCTTCATTATATGTTCTGGTCTATGTCTTAGCTAATCAGCATAATCAGAGTTTGTCTGAATCCAGTGCAGTGTAAGGAGAAACACCAGGAGCTTTTCCATGGCCTTGGGCTTTTGTATATTAGTACTGGGAGTATAGTTGTTTCCATTGGTGGAGTCATTGTTTCAAGTTGCAGTAAAATTAACATTTGGTGCTTGAGGATTCTTCTAATAAACAGATACCGAAAGCGTTAGCTCCTTTTCCAGTGGTGATCAGACATCATTTGACTCTAATTTTTGTTGTAGTTATTGTGTGTGTCAAAAGAGGAAGTCTCACATTGCTTGCATGAATAGAGCTCCTAGCATATATATATATATAGTGAAATAGGTTAATAAAATGATTTTGGAAGAGAAATGAACTTGCCTACATAAAAGCTAACTTAGGGCAATCACTGTTGAAAAAAGTTGATTTGCCCTCCTACACATGAGTCAAAGAGACGGTAGGTTCTTTCTATTGAATTAATTTCATGATAAATAAATTAGCTTATCAGAAAATTTTATTTTTTGGCTTTTTGAAATTTAAATTTTAACCTTAACGTTTTTTGGGTTTTAAGTGCATACTTAAATTGATTTTATTATTGACATTACTTGTTCCTTAATGGCCTCAGACAAGTGCTTAATGGGAAATCATATGCTTGTAATCGAAGCTTAATGGTGGATTAATTTGGTGATTACTATTCCAACGTTTGTTGAGGATCTTGGCCTATATATAAGCATGCATGCAGACGGAACCATTTCGCCTAGCTCTTGAGCTTTCGAGCCTTTCTTTCCTCATTCGCTTTTTGTGTTATGCTAGTCTGCTTGAGTTATCTTGTTGATATTTGATATTTGTTGTTCCGTTACCTTGTTTGTTTGCAAGATGAGTTTGTTTAATTTTGGAGAGTTGTCAGTCCTTCATATTAGTGTGTCAGAATAGTTCTTAAAGACAATGTCTTTTGACACAACTCAAGTTGTAGTTTCCTACCTATTGTCGACAATCTTAAGAATTATTATGGCATCTAATTTTGAGAACGTTGTCCCTAAGGATGTGCCTAATGGTTCTGGTAAAGATCAATTCATCCCTGTAACTATTGTTGTTCCCCTCCTGAGACCATTCTCAGACACTTCAAAGATAGAAATCTTTGATGGCAAGAGCTTCAAGCATTGGTGGGAACCAGTCTTCACCATCCTTAATTTGCATAGTGTAGCTGCTACTCTTACTCAACCCAAGCCCACCATTGATGCTGACCAAGCCCATAGAGTTACATGGACTCACGCAAATAAGGTATGCCGACATACTATTATTAGTACTTTATTTAATGATTTGTTTAATGTCGACTATATCTACAAGGAAACCTGTAAGATATGGGAGTCCCTGGTGATAAAGTGTACTATTGAGGATGCTGACAAGCAAAAATTCATCTTAAGAAACTACTATAGATGGGAGATGACCGAGAACAAAGATGTAAAGGAGCAGATAAATGAGTATCACAATCTGCTGGAGGAACTTTGTGCTGAAAATATTAAATTACCAAATGAATTTGTTGCTAGGATTCTTATTGAGGAGTTGCTAGAATCATGGAACGACTATAAGCAATAATTAAAACACAAATAAAAGCAGCTATCTTTGACTAACCTAATAACTCATATTATAGTTAAAGACACCAATTGAAAGGCAATTCATGCAACTAGAAGCAAATAAATGATATCCAAAGTCAATCTAGTAGAGACAAAGTCTCATAACAAGAGGTATGACCCTAAAACCAAAGATAACAAAAAGAATAGAAAATTTGATTACAAACCCAGTGCTTATAATCCCTCTTTCAAGAAAAAAAAAGGAGATTATTTTATCTATGGTAAACTAAGACATTATGCAACACAGTGCAGGAAGAGAGTGAATCGTGATAAACATCTAAAGCTAAATGTGAATTTGGTTTTAAGAGATGATGACAATGATGGTGACATCATTACTACAGTGGTGTCTCAAGCGCTGTTAAGTTCTAATGTGAAGAAATAGGTGATAGACTCTAGGGCTACTAGGTATATATATGCTAATCGGGAGATGTTTACCTCTTATGATGATAGTGAAGGAAAGAGCGTGTTTACCTTGTTGATTCTCAAACTGTTAAAGTTCAAGAAAAAGAGAAAGTGGTCTTAAAGCTCACATCAGAAAAGACTATAGCTTTGAATGGTGTTCTGCATGTGCCTGAAGTTAGAACAAATTTAATTTCAATTTCTTGGTTAAGGAAAGCTGGGGTTAAAATGTCATTTGAATCTAAGAAAATTATAATGACAAAGAATAATGTATTTGTAGAAAAAAAAAGTATTATAATCAATGACTGTTTGTTTTGAATGTTAATGAAATGAATATTATTGTCAGTATATGCATGTTTATATGATTGATTCTTTTGATTTGTGGCATGCTAGATTAGGTTACTCTAGTAAAAGTTATATAAATAAGATGCGACAACTTGGACTTTTTTTAAAAATTAAAAATAATGATTTTGAAAAATGTGAAGTGTGTGCAGAAATCAAACAAAGTAAAAAACCTCATTTTTCTAATCAAAGAAAATATGAGTTATTGTCTTTGATTCACACTAATTAAGGTGATTTAAAACAAATCATGACTAGAGGTGATAAAAAATATTATGTCACTTTTATTGATGATTTTTCAAGATGTACTAACGTATAATTGTTAAGAAATAAAGATAAAGTTTTTGAAAAATTTTTGTTATATAAAGCAGAAGTTGAGAATCAGTTAAATAAAAAGATTAAAAGAGTCAGATTTGATAGAGGTGGAGAATATTTTTATTAAATAATTTTTGTGAAAAAGAAGGTATTATTCATAAGAAAACATCTTTTTATTGAAACATTCTCACTCCACTAATCATAATTAACCAATATAACTCCTGATAATTCGAGACTTAACTCGAAAGGATAATTACAAAGGCTTAATTTAAAAGCAAAGGATCCTAAGTTTTTTAAATAAAAATGAGTTTAAGTCAATCAAAATCTTTCATATCAGAGTAAAAATAAGTCACAGAAGTATGAGATACCACAGATGAATGAAGGAAGTCAAAAACGGTTGAAAAACAAAACATGTTCTGTGATACAAGGCAATGTTCCGCGGCTTGTGCACGATGTGCCACGACGTGTTGCACGAAATTTCTACTGATTCTGCTGTCATTTGACAGCAAAATTGGGGAACTTTTGACTCACCCAGATTCTCCATCCGACGTTCGAATGATGTGATCTAAGTGTCTATAGAAAACTCTTTATATGAACTAGTCAATGGCATATGTTTCACTTCCAAAATATGTCACACTAAGAAGTTGGACACCCAAACACATTTAAACTACTTTTCAATACTTTTACACAAAATAGGTGTCTAAAACTTTCAACAAGTGTCAAAAGGTTTTCCTAATACCTAGATCATGTCCAATGAATCTAAGACTACCAGTACAACATGTCACAAGTATCAAAATATCAATATATCAAAAATTCACTTCTCAACCCCATTTTACCAAAAACAGAAGGGGAGGTAATTTATCATTGCATCTCACCTAAATTGTTCAAAATATGTTCAAATCATTATTTTTATACTTATACTAGTATTTTAGCCCTATAGACACACACACACACACACACACACACACACACACACACACACACACACACACACACACAAACTTACATAAAGACTAAGGACCTAAAATACAAATCTAACATTTCTAACAACAAATCTAACATCATAGAATTGGCAAGTTATATACTATTACACAATTAAATCTAAACTAGAGGCATATAGAAAGGAATATGCTAATTTCTAGCCATTTTAATCTTCTCCCTCTTAGCACCATAGCTAGAGCTTGTAAATGTTAAATTAAAAGGGTGAGTCTAGCCACTTAGTAACTAAAGTTAAAATCATCTTGTACAGTTATATATCAATTATAAACCAAACACATGCACAAGGAAATCAAGTATGTAAAACATGCTAGCATATATCATATCTTGTCGTTTATCGTCAAATAACATCTCTAACTCTTATAACTAGGTGCATTGTCACCATATTCTCATATATGTAACATGACTCATTATTTACATGACTTGTCACTACTTAACACATGTGACACATCATATATTTACTTAAGCAATGATCAACTAACTTTATATCTTTTTTATTTTTTTAGACTAAAATCGTGGGCTATAACACTGATTAGGACTCCATCCGTGTGACTAGATTATTCAAGCTTACCAATCGTGAGGTGTGACCCAGTCAAAGGTCATAGGACTCACTCTCAGACCATGGCTTCTCCCCTTTTTGAATCCCTGGGGTGTCTCATATCCTAAGCTATTCTCCTCCTTAAACAAATAGAGATAACTAGGCTCTAGTCCCTCGACAAACTATAGGACAAAGTTATATCCCCGTGCACTGGAGGGCAGCCAAAATACCATATGAATTTTTTTCTCTACTCCTAATTCCTAGGCAAACTCTTACTACTGATCATGACAAAATCAATACTCACTCATTTTTACTTTTTCGCTTTCATATACTCATTATCACAATAATTACATTGGGCTCACGACCATGCGCTACCCAAGTATGTATTCTCATCACTTTCTCCAAATTCATTTCTCCTAAACATAAAAATACCTCTACACAACATTCTTTATTTTTCAAAAACATAAGCGTATTTATAGTTAAGATTCTCTTGACTTCGCATTTTACATTTTCAAGCCAAAAATAACTTTTTCATGCACTCATTAAAACTAATATATAATTTTTACTTTAAAAATTAATTCCATACATGTAACATTCACAATTCACATTTAACAACCAATTAACAATTAATTAACACATAATTATCCAAAATAGAGTTTTTTCTGATTACCTCAAACCTTTGAGAGGTCAAAGGTTTACTCCTCAATCAACTAGCTTTCAATCTTGAATTTCAATCCAATAGGTGACCAAAAGCCAAAAGTACAATGAACCAAGTTGAATTTCATTAGCATTATCAATCCAAGCATGTAAACCCTCAATCTCTACTTCTAAATTGCCTAACATTCTCTCTACATAAGTTAGAGCCTATCCATTGGGTTTAATAATTACCTTTAGCCCTCAATAGTATTAATGAGCCATTAAATCTTCATTAATGGTATCACAAACTTTCAACCACCTATAATAAATGAGATTTTTAGATATTAATGGTGTCCAATAACTCAATAAACTAAAACTCATTATACTTAGATTTAGATACTCTAATATACTCCTATTAACTTCATTTGAGTCAATAAATTTGAACCCATAACTTATATGGACCGAAATTCCACTTCTACTATCAAACCCTAATCATAAACTCATAAATATGAAAAAAAATATAGAGATTAATGAGTGTGATATTTACCTTGAGTGTTTGTATCCTTCAAAATACTCTCAAAGTTATCCACAAGTAAACCCTAGTAGAGAATTAGCACGTCTCTTCATTCTCTCTTTTCTCTTTTTTCTATTTCTATCTCATTTCGCATTTGATAAACTACAAAAAAATGGCCATACACTGAAGCGGACGCATAATGCATCGTGGTGCATGACACAGAGAGGTACTCCCTCACTTAAAAATGTTTGTGCTCTGCGACGTGTGGCACAGCAATATTAACTCTTCCTTTTCTTCTCTTTTTGATGCCCGGATGGCCCTCCTCAATATCAAACCCATAACTAAGGCTGAAATACCATCAAATATGATTATTAGATCTATTTGGCCATACACCACTTTAACTTACTTAATTACCCTAATTAGGTTTAATCAATTAGGAAATTAAAACTTGAGATGTTACACTTATTCTCCGGAGTCTAACAATGTTGTAGAAAGGAAAAGTCAAACATTAAAAGAGATGATGAATGCTTGGCTTTTGAGTTCTTCTGTACCTAATAACTTATGGTGTTAAACTATTTTATATGCATATTTTTTACAAAACAAAGAAAACATCTTATAAATTATGAAAAGAATTTACCCCAACTTTAAAATATTTAAAAGTGTGGGGATATTTTGCAAAAGTTTTATTACCACATCCTAAAAAGAGAAAAATTGATTCCAAAACTTTTGATTGCATGTTTATTGGCTATACTAAATAAAGTGTAACTTATCATTTTTTGATTTTAAAAAATGATATTTTAGACCAAAACACAATTGTTGAGATGAAAGATATTGAATTTCTTGAATATATTTTTCCCTTAAAAATTGAGCGTCTTTCTAAACCTATTGAGGATGCTAAGTTTGAAACAAAATTTGAATGACGATTTGGTTTTAAGGAGAAGTAAAAGGTAAAGAAAAGAAACAAGTTTTAGAAATGATTTTTATACTTATTTGGTGCAAGATAAATCACTTAATTTTTATGAAACTATTTCTTCTCCTGATGCTAAGTTTTAGAAATATGCAATTAAGATTGAAATTAATTCTCTAAGAAAAAATAAAACTTGAGTTTTAATAGACTTACCTCAAGGAACAAAGGTTATTGAGTGTAAATGAATTTTTAAGGTATGAATTTTTAAGGAAAAATATTTTTCAGATAGTTCAATTGATAAATATAAAGCAAGGCTTGTGGTCAAGGCTTTTACATAAAAGAAAAATATTGGTTATTTTGACACTTTTTCTCTTGTGATTAGAATTTTTTTATAAGAATTCTTTTTGCTTTGACTTTAATTTATAAGCTTTTTGTTCACCAAATGGATATTAAAACATCATTTTTGAATGGTAATTTGGAAGAAGAGATTTATATGATACAACCCAAGGGATGTGCGATTCTTAGGCAAGAAAATAAAGTTTGTAAACTTGTCAAATCTCTTTATGGCTTAAAACAAGCACCTAAACAATGACATGAAAAACTTGATCAAGTTTTAACAAATGATGATTTTTTTACTATTCAAGTAAAAAAATGTGTTTATGCAAAAATTTTGAATAATGATTGTATAATTATATGCTTATATATGGATGACATGCTAATATTTGGCTCTAGTACGCATGTTGTTAATGAAACTAAAAATTTTCCTTCTTCAAATTTTTATATGAAAGATATAAGTGAAGCCAAAGTGATCCTAACTGTGAAGATCATAAAGAATGAAAATGAGATTTTACTTTTTCAAGAACATTATGTTGAGAAAATTCTCCAAAAGTTTGGACATTTTAAAGATGCTTCTCTAAGTACTCCTAATAGTTCCAATATGCAATTAAAAAAGCACAAGGGTGACCTAGTTGCTTAATTTGAGTATGCATAGATTATTAAGAGTCTATTGCATTTGATGATTTTTACCAAGCTTGATATAGTTTATGTTGTAGGCAGATTGAGCAGATATACCCACCATCCAAGCAGTAAACACTAGGAGGTTCTAGTAAGAGTTGTGAGATATCTAAGAGGTACTATAAACTATGGTATATTGTATAGTGGATTTTCCTTTATATTGGAAGGATACAATGATGCTAACTGAATCTTAAATTTAAAAGAGACAAAATTTACTAATAGTTATATATTTACTCTTGTTAGTGGTGCAATAACTTGAAAATTTGCAAAATAGACAATCAATACAAAATCCTTAAGGGATTCTGAATTTTTTGCCATAAAGCTGGTTGAAACTGAAACTAAGTGATTGAAAAACTTTTTAACGAGTATTCCAATAGGCAAAAAGCTTACACCATTAATGTTTTTATATTATAATAGCTAGTCTACAATAACAATAGCTAAAAATAAGACTTTTAATGTCAAAAGTAGACATATTCGATTGAAACATAATATTATAAGGCAGCTGCTTAAAGATGGGGTCATATCAATCGATTATGTAAAATCAAAGTTAAATTTGGTGGATTTGTTAACTAAGCCCCTGGGGAAGAAATTTATTATTGAAACATTGAGGGGAATGAAACTTATGCCTATTTGAAATTAATAGTAATAGCAACCCAATCTTTGTGATTGAAGATTCTATGAAGAAGGTTTAATGGGTAAGAATAAGTCATTTGTTAGTTCTGCTAACATTAAATTTTTTACACCTTCCTATTGTTTGAAAAAGTGCTAGAATGCATTGAACAGAGATAGAGTAGAAGCTCTTAATGTTTTTATAATCCTTGTGGCTGGCATATTTATTGCAGATACACTTGATGAAAATAATTATACAAATGTTGAATAGGGCGCTCTTGTGAGATCGTGGCAAAATCTCTAGAGTATTTGTTAAAACTAGGTGTGCGCATCGTTGATAACATGTAAAACCGTCATTAGCAGTAGAGATTGTAGGGATATAATTCAATTAATAAAACCTTTAATACACACTCAAGATCTGTTAACCAATAACAAAGTTACACCAACTTTTCTATGTGCTAAGTTTTATTAGTCCAGATTTAGTTCAAGTTGAAAGACACTAAATTCAAAGTGATTATCTTCCATGTGAATAACTCAGATGATAATGGTCTTTTTGACTTATGTGGGGGATTATTGTAGTTATTGTGTATGTATGTGTCAAAAAAGAAGTCCCACATTGCCTACATGAAGAGAGCTCTTAGTATGTATTTACTAACGAATAAAATAAGCTAGTAAAATGGGCTTAGAGAAAATATGGGCTCGCGTGCACGAAACATGCCAACTCAAGGTGATCGTAGTTAAAAATAATCAACTCACCCTCCCGCACTCGTGTCAAAGAGGCACTAGGTTCTTTTTATCAAATTAATTTTGCAAAAAATAAATCATTATTTATTTAAATTAGCTTACCATAAAACCTTGTTTTTTGGCTCTTTGAAATTTGAATCTCAATCTTAATGTTTTATGGGTTTTATGCACATACTTAAACTGATTTTATTATTGACGTTACCTGTTCCCCAACAACTCTAGACAAGTGCTTAATGGAAAATTATATGCTTGTAACTAGAGCTTAATGATGGTTTAATTCGGTGATTACTATTCCAACGTTTGTCTAGGATCTTGGCCTATATATAGGCATGCATGCATGCAGAACCATTTCACCTGGCTCTTGAGCTTTTGAGTCTTTCTTTCCTCCTCCACCTTCTGTGTCATGCTGGTCTGCCTAAGTTATCTTATTAGTATTTGTTGTTCTGTTGCCTTGCTTGTTTGTAAGATGAGTTTGTTTAATCTTAGAGAGCTACCGGTCCACCATATCAGTGTGTCAGAATAATTCTTGAGAACAGTGTCCTGCGGCATGACTCAAGCTATAGTTTGCTACCTACTGCCAACAATTTTATGGAAGACTTATTTATGCCCAATGCCCAATGACATGTGCGTTTAACTCTTTTGATATTCAAGTAAAGAGTTCCCCTTAAATATTGTTGCTAGGCCAACTAGAGCTTGCAAACTCAACTCAGGTTTCTGAATAAACAAAACATCTTTGAACAATGAGGATACAAATAACTGAATAAGCATGTAATAAGTCACTTAAAATCACGCAGTTATTTCCAATTCAATTAATGCTCTCGAGTACTCCTAATAAGGGCAACACGAGAAGACCTCGCCCGTCACTGGCTGCCTCAGATATGCTCGACGTGTATAACTAAACTCCTGAAAAAATCTGATAACAATAGAACCCACCAAGTTGGAGGAGCTGCGGAGTCGAAATTGAGTAGTTGAAAAGGGGAAAAAGGGGAAAAAAATACCTGTAGGGGCTAGTGCACGTAATGCCTTCTCATTCAGAAGAAATACCCAAATATGCAAAGGGTTCAAAAATTTAAAATCTACAAAACATATCAAGCATTGCAGAAATTCAAGGTTGCCAGTTGGTTTTTCTTTTTTTTCTTTCTTTTGGGGGGGTGGGGTGCTCGTAGAATTGGAAATTTGAGTAGTCCAGGAACAAGACAGCACAGACAATGTGCTTTGCCTATTGATACTTGATAGTATAATGCACAATGAAAAAATGAAATTGGACCACAAAACATAGCCAATTTGTTTTGAGAGAGAGAACTTCACACCAAAAACATGTCTCTTCTCCCACCTAGAGGTTGTAAGAGTGGGGCGGGATGTTAGTAGAGACCAATAGTTTGTGCCTTTTTGATGTAACGAAAAAACATTTTTCTTCCGCTTACCTTCTTTTCCTGTGGTACCTGTGTTCTATTTAACATGGAACTTGGCCTCTCACCTTCTTTGAAATAACTTTCATTCGATCACATGCTTCTTTAAGGAGTTTCACAGCCTGCAGTATGAAAATTCAAATAATATATATTTACCAATTTTTGGATGATTAAGGAATTTATTTAGACATAGAGGCGTAAAATTATAAATGTAGAACCATAACCCCTGCATCAATAAGCGACTGCATTTACGAACTTGGCCTATGAACTGGCCCAATCGCATCACTACTCATCCCACAATTTGTAACCTTTCGGAAAGTGGGGCAAACAGAAAAAAGTAAAGTGATTTAAGTCTCATTTGAAGTTTCAAAAAGAGAAGTCCAGCTGCAAATTCGAGCATTTCAGCTAAAAGATTCAGATACTTTTTTGTGGTGTAAAAAGTTTTAATTACTTCCTTACCACTTATAATACATATTTCGTGTAAATATTAAGAGAAATTGTAAGGACTATTCTACAGGATTATACAAATATCAAACGAACCATCCAAATTTCACCGATAGTAAGCTGCCTAAACACACTGCATCTATTGAATACTGATAGAACCCAATTCCAACTTAGTCCATCCAATAAACACCAACCTTCTAATCAGATTAACTGGGTCGATGTTTCGCGAAACTGTTCAAAGTAGTCATGTTGTAGGGTGTCAGCCTTGTCAATCCAAATGCAACCGAAACAAACTGACTACATGATATTAGTAATTCAAATATTTTATGCTTTTTTCTCATTCAATTAGATCATGTTTAACTCTCTCACTTTAATTTTTTGAGATTATATAGATTAAATCAAAAGGTCGATGGCAAGAAATCATTGCATCTTTTCAATGACGTTTTGCAAGTCATAAGAACAAAAAGGAGAACAAAGTTGTCAAAAAAAACAGGTTGATAGATAGATCAAAGTAATTCAATGACTTTCGAATTACTGAGAAGCCATCATTAACAGGCTCCCAAAGTCAAAAAGTTAGAAAGTACTTAAAATGAGAAACTTTCATATCCACAGGCCTACATACATATACCCATATGTAAGAAATTAGAATAAAATATGTTTACAAATTTTTCATATAGCTGCCCACAACACATTTAATACAATCTCGGGAAGTCAAATAAGATGGGAAATTTGTTCAGGCAAATATTGGTAAATACTAAGAACAACCAAAAATAATGAAGGCCAACAAGTAGAAAGGAAAAGACATAATTCCAAAAGCAAAAGAGAAAAGAAAAATAACAACAGCTATTATTTAATTGTAAAGGGACAGCAGAATCATGATTATAAAAACTAGCCTTTGCTAGCAGATTTTTACCAGTTCCCGGTGGCCCTGGTAAGAGAATCCCCTAAAGAAAGGAAAGCCTTAGGCTCATAGGATCAGATGAACAAAAGAAACAAACGGAATACAATCAATGCAGTCTGAAAACCGTAACATTATACTACATGAAGACAATCAGGTTCATTAGTATAGCATGCAATGAAAACAAATAAAAAGCTATCGTGTTTATTAATGCAGGCAGCGCACGAATTCCATAAGTAGTGACGTCATCATGTCATCAACTCATTAAAAGGCATGGAAACCTAGTGCCTCCTACAAAGAAATGAGAAATCTATAGAAGGAAAGGAAGATTATGGAAATAAAGTGAACTATCAGGATAAAAATGAAAACCAAGTGCCTCCTGCAAGGAAATGAGAAACCTATAGAAGTTAAGGAAAAATATGAAAGTAAAAGCATGTGAACTGTATGGTCAGGCATAAAATTTTTGGCACAAGGATGAAATGACTTCTGCAAACCTTTGGCAACTTTCCTTCCAGGCATGTAAACATAGCTGGATTCTTTAGGTACTCCGCAGCTTGCTTAAGCTCTTCTTTTGCATGATCACGTTAAATGTTTTATCATACTGTGAGCAAGGAAACACAGATAGATAGACAATACTAGGCACGGGCAAAACTTCTTATCTATTGGTTCTGATTAATAATCAACTGATCAATGAATTAGAATTTCACCATCTTATTAGCCAAAAGGAAATAAGAAATATAAATGTACTATAGCAAGGCTGTTGTTCGCTCATCTATTGCACTTGCAATCTCAGAAAATTATTAGCAACAGCCCAAATTTCTAGCTGATAAAGTTCTCAAAATACACTAAGCGGCTGGATGACATATTACAAGAAAATCAGATTCTGTTTACCATTGCAGAACTTAAGATGTTAACCTTCTGTGTCATCACTTCCTTGTTCAGCTCCTTGTTCAGCATGGTAAAAACTTGCGCCAACACTTGAAGCTCCAACGCCACCCAAGCTTGATTTGCATTTAGCAAGTGCAGCAGCATCCTGAAACCTAAAACCTAAAAGATATTTACATATCGTCAGGCTCACAAAGGAATTCAGGTAGCCGTTACATACTATATGAGAGAGAAACTAATGGCTCTCACCAAAACAATCCAATAGCAATAGTAAACAAGATGGCTGAAATAACATTGAGCAAATAGTGGTTTGTTTAATAACGCTGGATCAACCTAAAATAGTAAACAACTCAAAGAGATTAACGCTAAATACTTTTTGGGAGAGAGATCATCAACTTAGTGTTCCCTAGAGACTAGTAAAGAAGCTTTCCATTCCCAAAGTGTATTGCCAAACCTGTGTTTATTGAGTTCAACAAATAATGGAGTCTGCTTTGCCGCATTCTCGGGATTTTCGTTGGCTTCAGCAACGTTCCTCTGCTCCGTAAATAGCCATCAATTTGCAAACGAAGGAAGGTCTTTGGGACGCCTTCTCTCATCCTCGCCCACAACCCTATAAAAATGCCAGTATCGGCGACTCGGCCTCCCCGTCCTCCTTTCAACACATTGTCGCGCTCTCTTCTTCCCCACATTCTCACCCATTTCCTGGCAAATTTCGTTGGTCTCCAAACTTAATTCCCCAATGCGACTCTGCCACTCAGCCTTCCAACTGTCAGTATCAACTACGTCTACCCTCTGTTCTTCTAAGACTAAAGCGCAAACGACTTCCGCTATGCCTGAACTTTCCCCACCAGTTCTATCAATATCCGATTCTTCATCAACAAAACTAAATATCATCACCCATGAAATTTGACTCAGACAGTGAACTCGCATCCTCCGGTCGAGATGTACAAAAGATCAGCGTACCGCGCAGGCGAAATCGCAAGTTATGAAATTCGGGGCTGACCGCATGAATATAACATTCTAAGGAACAAAAATGAAGTGAAAGAGAGGGACGAAGAATTGTGTATGAAGCCGTTGTTTTGTCTGCGAAGTTTGCAGAAAAAGTGAACTTTGAAGTGTTGTCATTGCTAGGATTTATCACTGCGCTCATGCCCCCTCTGAGCTCACTTCCCCTCGCTCGGAGAAGACGGAATATTTTGTATCAGAGAGAGGAAGTTGCCTAATCATCCGGTATCGAAATTGGCGCCGGCTTAAGATTTCCGTGAAGATTCGTTTGTACTTTTATCGATTCTCTGCTGTGGCGACACAACGAGTCGCTCACGTGTCATTAAACGTGGATGTCATTTTTTCAAATTCTTCGAAGTGTTAAAGGGTGGTAATATCGACACATTAAGTAGTCATATACTCATATGATTAAAACAATAAAAAGACATAACTATTCGGTCAATTATTAATATTTAGGAACAACAATGGAAAAAAACTGGTGATAACATGGTAGGAAAATTTTAAACATCTATTTGATGATGGATGCAACATTTTTTTACAATAATAATTTGTAAAAAAGGAGATTAGGGAGGAATGCAATAATTTGTTGCACTAAATAAGGATATGTAAAAAATAAAATAAAAAATAAAAAGTACAGCATTTCAACGGATACGTGATTGCCATACATCAATTAAATTGTTAAAGATCTCCTTCTATGCTATTATATTTGTGGTAACATTTGTGAGTTTGTCATCTGTATTAAAAATTAATATCTTTAACCTTTTCCTACTTCACATTTAAGATACAGCAACATAGAGCTAGTTTTATGCAAAAATAAATCTTGAAGGTATAATCCAGTGCTAAACAAAATCTAACCTTAATTGTTATTTATGGTCATAGTAAAAAATAATAAAATTGAAAATTATTTTATACGAAAAGTGAATGATAGTGAACAATCGAAAGATAACAGATCAATTCTTGAGATATGAGCTTTTATCCCATCATTTGATCCTAAAATTACTCTTGCTTTCATAATATGTTTGTCTATTTGAGTAATGATTACACGTGTGTCATTGCAAATACTAAGAGATTTATCAATATTGCTTAGAAGTATAATAGAAGCTCCAACTTCAAAATTTCAATCCATGATTTAGTACATTGGACAAATATCAAGTTTGAAAACTTAATGGAATATAAATCATCCATTGAATCAATGTTTCCATCTTAAAAGCAAAATTTTCATTTTTTTTTCAAAATAACTATCATTTTAAATTTTAAGCATTAATTATTTTTGAGAAAATTGACCTGCAAGTCCTTATAATTTTGCTTAGTTTTAAATTAGGTCCCTATATCTTATTTTATTTTAATTAAACCTTTATAGTTTGATCTATTATACTTCATTCAATCCAAAATATAAGCATTTCCCCTCAACGAATCCTAATTCAAAATATAAACAACCAAATATATGTAAAAAAAGTTTTTTTTTTTCATTTTATACCTTGTATTTATTATCTTAAATCTTTATATAAACGTATCTCTTACTCATCATAGAGTGCATTGGTAATTGAGAGTAAGGGTAAAAGGAGAAGACAATATATTCCCCTAAACTACAATAGAAGTTATAGTTAAATAATTCACGATTTATAAACAATATTAGTTAAAATCTTAAAAATGTACACATCTTTCTATTTATATTCTAATTAAATATCCTATATAAAAACCTTGATAATAGTAATTAAAATTTTTATATATGATTTTTTAAAAAAAAGAGTAATAAATATAGTAGGGATATAATTAAAAAAATAAATATAAAAGTTATACAATCCCAATATTTTGGATCAGGTAAAGTTTCTAACATATATATTATATTATAGTATAAAAAGAGTATATTTTCATGGGAATGAAAAATTTAATAGTATGTGAATTTAAAAAATACTTATATTTTAAATCAAAGGGAGTAGATGTTAACCTTAAAGGTTAAAATTAATAAAGATTTATTAAAACTTCAGAAAAACAAAATACTTAGTTTACAAAAAATTTAATTTAATAATTTTAATCAAAAATAAAAAATAAATAAAATTTGATTTAATACACTGTTTACATTGCTATGAAAATTCTATATGCATTAAAAATATTTAGAAGTAAACTTAATTAGATAAATTTTGAACTATAAAAATTATATAATTAATTCTAAAATTATATATTCATTAATAAAAATATGAAAGTTATTAATTGTATTTTTTAAAAAAGAAAAATCTAAGGATTTCATCCTTCAAAGATTAAAAAATTTGATTAATCAAATTATAAAGGCTCAATTTAAGACAAAATAAACTGCAAATAACTAATTTAAAATTGAGTGAAATTGTAATATCTTACAAATATTTTTTCATTATTTTTTGAGAAAGAATATTAAATAAAAAATATTTAAAAATATTTTTACACTCCTGTTCAAAAAACATTTAGGCTATTCGCCAACTTCTCAATCAGTGGGCGTTTTGAAATGGGAAGAGCATGAGCAAGATAAAATTTCGGCCACATAGATATCTTCCAAAATGGGGCTTACACATTTCACAATAAATTTCTTACCGAAAATAAATTTCACAGAAAATTTAAAATTCAGTTAAATTAGAGCAGACAAGCCTCCTATGATGCACAATTTCTGATCAAGTACTGTGGAAATTAAGCACAAACTACCTCGCCAGCATCTCCATTCCAAAAACTGAGCATAGTTATTAAAACAGAAACGCTCGTGCAAAATGCTCACATCATTCAGTTCCAAAAACATTTCACCCAATAGGAAGTTGTTGCCCTCCGAAGTAATACTGATTCGTGCCTACTGGAGTTCTGAAATGATAAGGACAGCCAACGAAAGGAAAATTAATGAAAACTGAACTTGTTCCATAGTATGTCATTTGTGAGCCAACTAGAAATAAAAAATTGGTCCACACCAATTGCTTACAGAACTTCCAAATCTCAATCAATGAGGAGAAAAAAAAAACAAAGAAACAAACGGGAGGGGGGGCAGATAAAAAGCGGCCGACGCAGATCCAGAATCATGTCAGGCCACTGTAGGACAGTTGAACCCTAATTTCGGAGCTCTATTTCTTGGCCTAGTTGAAGTTCATGTGAGAGGCATGCTATCGGTTGTGACCAGATCCATAGGAGTGCATTGTTGATGTAGGTGGGAGTGAGCTATGGCTTGGATACTGCATCATTCCAGGAGCCATTGGCGGCGCCATAGAGCCAGGTGGCATGTAATGATTATTCTGCATATGGGGGGGCATAGATTGAGGTACTGGTGGAGCAGCTGTAGCCCACCCGGACTGAGGCTGGTGCATCACAGGCTGCTCAGGGCCAGGAGCATACTGAACTCCGTTGTATTGAACAGCATGGCCTCCCATGGGGACAGGATGCTGCCCCAATATAGGCGGTTGAGTGTCCACAACTGGTGGTGCATTGGAGATGGTATAGTCTCTGCTCCTATCATTATTAACCTGGAATCACACAAGAAGCCATCAACATTACAACCCTCAAGTTACTGCTATAGTTGACGTGCACCTCTTTGAAAAACAAACCTCAAGACACACACACACACAAGATTGGTCAAACTGTTCCTCATCAGTCTCTTCCACATAAGTTGACAAAAGCAAAACCACCCCCCCCCCCAAAAAAAAAGAGCAGACTTTGTTTGCTAACATAACCAATAATCGCTTCTTCGTCATTCAAGGAAATAGTCAAATGGCTACTTATTTTTATAGCCAAGTACCTTTATGCTAAGGTCAGTATGACGTGAATATGAGATGTGTAGCTTGCAAAACCCCCCATCATAAATGCAGTGACCCTCCAAGGCTTCCTTGGCCACAACAGCAGTTTGTACATCTGCAAACGATGACATGCAAACATCTCAAACAGTACATACATACATACTGTTAGGTGCTCAAATAATTCAAGGAAATAAAAAAAAAAATCTATTAACATGACATAGAACAAGAATCTCATTCTATATTTCTTTCAATAACCACGCTTAGGAGAATCTCCAAAAGGTTTAAAAGACTTTTATTTATCACGATGACATGCTAGCTTCTAAATTGCTGGTCATATTTATAAAGCCAAATACAATCTAAAATAAATAAAATCTAAATAACTACATAACTAAATAAAATCTCCTAGAATCTAAATCTAAATAAAATACTGAATAAAATCTAAAATCTAAATAAAATCTGAAGAAATATGATGTGTAGGATAGAGGAGACTAGAGAAGAATAGAGGAGAGACGAGAGAGGCTGAGGGAAAGGAGAGAGTTTTTCTGAATGCTGCTCAGGATATTATTTCACATAAGAGTCAAATACACCGATAGCCCTTATATAGGCTCACATAGGACTAACTCACTCTCTCTAACTAACTGTAACCTTATTATCCCCTAATCACCCTATTGACCTCAAGGGTTGGAGGTGACAAAAGTAGGGTGTTGTTTCAGCAACTGAAACAAAGAAATGCAGCTTGCCTCTTCAACCAGAAGGCCCTTCCATTGCACAAGTACTTCTGTAATGATCCTGCCTTTTCTCCTACCCCTTCGCTCATTCAATATTTTTTTTCCAGAATCAGATCTGAAGGAGATTCTGGCCAATCCATAGGGCGATGCTGCTACTTTACTAAAGGATCAAGACATAATTTAAGCCAAGAGACATGAAAAGTGGAGTGAACCCTTGATTCTGGAAGTAATTCCAACTTACATGCCACTGGACCTACCTTCTTACAGATTCTATAAGGCTGAAAATATCTTGAAGCTAATTTCTGAGAGCTTCTTGATGATGTAGAAATTTGATGATAAGGTTATAACTTGAGAAATAACCATTGTCCCTCCTCAAATTCTATCACTTCAGTGCAAATCAGCTTTCTGCTTCATTCTATTTACAGCCCTATTGAGCTTCTCTGCCGCCACATCTCCAGGCAAATATGCAATATGCATAGGGGGAACCTGTCCATATGGCAAATCACAAGGAGTAGTTTTTGTGGAAGTGTGATAGGATGTGTTATACCATCATTCTGCCAAAGAAAGCCATTTGTGCCTCTCCTTAGGTTTTTCCCAACACACACACATCAAATAATTTTCCAAACAGCAATCGAGCACTTCTGATTGCCCATCCGTTTGTGGCTGATAAGAGGAAGTAAACTTCTGTTCAACCCCCAAATAATTTTCCAAACAGCGATCTAGCACTTTTGATTGCCCATTTGTTTGTGGGTGATGAGAGGAAGTAAACTTCTGTTCAACCCCTAAAACCCTTAAAAATTCCCTCCAAAAATTACTAACAAAGAGGGGGTCTCTATCACTAAGAATCTTGATTGGTGCTCCATGTAATTTGTACATATGATCCAAAAATTGCTGTGCCAAGGTAGATGCTGTAAAAGGATGAGACAAAGGCAAAACGCGTGCATATTTACTAAAACAATCAATAATCACCCAAATAGTGTCTTTCCCATTTCACTTGGGCAACCCTTCTATAAAGTCCATAGTCACGCTCTCCTAAACTCTACTTGGAATAGGTAGAGGCTGTAGCAAACCTGGATAAGCCACTAATTCACACTTACATCTTGCACATGTATCACAATGCTTCAATAATTCGTTGATATCTTCAAATAATTTTTGCCACCAAAACAACTTTCTAACTCTTTGATATGTAGCTTGCACACCTGAATGTCCTCCCTGTGGGCTAGCATGAAGCCATTCCAATATTTTCTGCCTTACACTAGGAATATTTCCCACCACTAATCTGCCATTCTTTCTTAAATACTGACCATCCCAAGAATATTTTCCTTCTGCAGCAACATGCTGCTGCAAATGAGCTTTTAAAGCTCTTAAATCCACATCATCGTCCCAACTCTTCTCAATTTCCAGAAAAAGGAAATCTGAACAGGTATGAAGAGACACTTGAAATACCTCATTTTTAGGCATCCTTGAAAGAGCATCAGCTACATTATTGTCATTGCCCCTTTTGTAATGTATTTCATAATCATACCCCATAAATTTGGTCACCCAATACATTTGAAATGCTGTTTTTAACTTCTGATATAGCAAATATTTGAGACTTTGCTGATCAGTTTTAATAATAAACCGTCTTCCTCCAAGGTATTGATGCAAATGCTCCACAGCTTATACTACCCCCAGTAATTCCTTCCAATAGATAGAGAGATTCAAGTGTCTAGGAGCCAAAGCCTTGCTGAAAAAGGCAATAGGTTGACCCCAATGCATCAGGACAGCACCAATGCCAGAGTTACAAGCATCAGTTTCAACCACAAACAGAGAAATCTGGAAGAGCAAGAACAGGGGCTGCGACCACTGTTTCTTTCAACCTTTTACATGTAACAGCAGCCAATTCTGACCAATGGAAATTATTCTTCTTGAGTAGTTCTGTTAGGAGCTTAGTCAATGAACCACGACTCCTAATAAACCTCCTATAGTAGCCTGCAAGTCCCAAGAATGATCTTGCTTCACTGTAGTTAGTTCCAGCCAATCCATCACTGCTTTGATCTTCTTTGGATCAGTTGAGATGACTCCTCCATTAATAATGTGTCCCAACTATTCTACTTGTGTTGCAGTAAAGGTACACTTGCTTTCCTTCACAAAAAAACAATTTTCCCTTAGAATTTGTTAAACGCAAGTGTCATGTGTGAGATTCTAAACAAGGACTATAAATTAAAATATCATCAAAGAAAACTAAGACAAATTTCCTTAAATACCCCTTGAATATACTATTCATGGCACCCTGAAAGGTTGCAAGGCATTAGTGAGCCCAAAAGGCATTGCTAACCACTTGTAGTGGCCTGAATGAGTGCGAAAAGCTGTTTTATAAATGTCCGTGGGCTTCATTCGAATCTGATGGTAACCAACCCGTAGATCCAACTTAGTAAGCCATTTAGCATCCTTTAATTCATCCAAAAGCTCTTCTACAAGAGGAATAGGGTATTTATTCTTAACTGTCCTCTTGTTAAGTTCTCTATAATCGATGACATGCGCTGTGACCTATCTTTCTTTTTCACCAACACAATGGTGAAGCAAATGGTGAACTACTTTCTTGAATGACTTGTGATTGCAACAATTCTTTCACTGTGTCTTCAATAGCATTCTTTTGAGCTGCTAGGTGTCTATAAGGCCTTAAATTGACTAGATCAGAACCTTGTAGAATAATAGGATGGTTGTGACCCTCTCTCAAGGGAGGAAGAGATTTAGGCTCCTTAAATACGTCTGAAAACTCAGTCAACATTCCTTGAACAGCTTTTGCAAAACCATTCTCCCCTTGTAAGTGAAAATAAAACAGCTTTTCATCACCATTTTCCACTAATTGCAGCAGCATAAACACCTGTCCCACAGCCTCCAAATCATTTTCAATCTTCTTAAAATCAACAATTTTACAACCTATTAATTCTTGAGGCTGCAATTTACACATTTTCCAATCATACCAAAAAGTCATGGACAGTTTATCATAATCCCAACGAGCATGATGGATGGGTTTCAGCCAAGATAATCTTAAAACCATGCCATAGGTCTTGACTTCCATTATTTGGAAATCTCCCCAAATTTCTCACCCTGCATCTTCCACTTTACTCCTTTCAAAACCCCATAAACTTTAAATTTTCCACCCCCTGCTACTTCAACTTTTGCCACAGGGTGAAAGTCACCTTTCCAACCAATCTTTCTAGCCAAGCCACAGTCCATGTAGGCATGAGAAGCCCCATTGTCAATGAGGATTTGCATGTTTTGTCAACCCACCTACCGTTGGATTCACATAGCAGAGGGTCCTACACTCCCTTGTATTGCATGTAAGGAGATTTGCAAACACTCAGATTATTCTGGAAGCCTTTCATATCTAGTGGAAACCTCCACGTCCTGTTTTGTACCCTCTTCACCCTCTTTTGCCTCCTCTTCCTCTAATTCAATAAGCTGCAGTACATTTTCTATGTTTGGCCACATACATGATCTTGAAAGAAAGGCTGGCGACAATAAAAATAAAGATTCCCCATAATTCCTTCACCTCATTCAGAGTCAACATTTTGGAGCTTTTGACTTGATTTCATGAAGACCCCTCACCTGTGGTTGAAGAAACAGGCACAAAGAACCAATCCTAGGTGCGAAAGAATGTAAATTTGAGGATTGGACTATTGTACCCTTACTAACGTGGAATTCATTACTGACAGATGGCCCTTTCATATCTCCCCAATTATTCAAACCCTTTGTTTCTTTTGGATAAGCATTAAAGATACTTCCTTGCATCTACGTATCTTCATTTCACCCCAACTAAACCAAATGAGGACACGACTCAACGCCATGAGTCCTACCGAATGCTTTCTAGCAATTCACTTCATGCGTGCATGCATGCGATGGCTCGTGCTTCACGCAAAGACTAAGGCTTAAACATACAAATATGTGCAGCAAATTCTACCTACAAGCCCACCGTGTAAGTCTGCACAAGATAATCTTTTGAAAGTTTGATCTTGCAAGCGATTGCAACAAACTCATCATCAAATTCTTCAAGTGAGCTGGTTTGACGAAGCTTTATGAGATCTTCCATCGAGGCTTCATAGGTAGGTCAAAACCTATACTTCAATTCCTCTATGTATTCTTGCCAAGTCCATCTACTTACCTCCTTCATCTGATGACGCAAGAGCTTGATGCCATTGCCAAGCTTTTTTATCGAGGTGCAAACTAGCCATGAGAACTTTCCAATCTTCAGATGTGTTATCTATTTAGAAATAAAATTCACACTTAAAGATCCACCCCAAGATATCACTTCTTTGAAATCTGGGAAACTCCATCTTTGTAAAACAAGTACAAGGTTGATACTCATGGTTTTCTGGTCATGGATGTCCTCTACAATGGTTGTTGCTTGTATGACCTTTGTCGGAAGTGTCATTACAATCACATACCATTTGAGCAACCTTATTGGTAAAGGCTTGCACGTCACTAGGGAGATTAGCTAGGTTGGAGAAGGCATCTTCCTAGGCATAAATTCGATCTTCACTGTTGTCTGCCATGGTACGTTGCTATCTCTGTAATCTGGTTTTTGGCATATAGGCCAAGCACCCCCGGCTCTAATACCACTGATGTGTAGGATAGAGGAGAATAGAGAGGAATAGGAGAGAGATGAGAGAGGAAAGGAGAGAGTTTTTCTGTATGCTACTCGGGTTATTATTTCACATAAAAGAGTCAAATACAGAAATAGCCCTTATATAGGCTCACATAGGACTAACTGACTAACGGTAACTAATCGTAACCTAATTATCCCCTAATCACCCTATGTACGTATCAAAATATCTATATCTAAATAAAAAAGCTAATTAAATAAATAAAATCATAAAATCTCTCCTAAAATATAATAATAGAGTCAATCCTAATTCATCTTTTAACGCTTCCTTCTTGAATAAGTCTTGATGGAAAATCTATTTGGAATCTTATCACATACATACATATTTAAGTGGAGGAGGGAGAGAGTAAAAATATATCTAAATAACAATGACACCAAAATTATAGATGCCTCCATGGAGACAGTCCACATATAACGAATTAAGCCCATCAAGAAGACACCCATCGTGTTGAAGTGATATAAAACATCATAATCCTAAATAGAATAAGCATATATTTCAGTTTAACCTACAGGAAAAGTGTCAAGAAAAAAGTTTATTGCAGCAAGAAATATGAAAAATCTTTCTCACAGATATCTATCCTAAATAAATCAATTTCACAAAATCCATGTCTTTAAGAAAGAATGTATCACGGGAAACACAACTTTCAAGCAAAAAACTGCATCCAAGGAAACACATCAAAGTGTGTAACAAGAAGATCCCACTTCAGTTGCCCATTTCTTGACTCAGATCATATGGCGGCTAATTTCCAAAGAGTCAGGCCAACATCAATTTTAACCTCAAATGCTTTGCATATGTATAACAATAAAGCTAAAGTAATTCCATTCCTGAGGCACTGATTTTGCCCCAGAATTTTATTTGGTCCCATGATCACCTCAATGTTCAAAAAAAAAAAAAAAGGTTCAACATTAATATCATAATTCCCCTCACTCCATTAACTTCACCACTATATTGCTCTTACATGGCTCGTGGCTGAGCGGACAGAATGATGGTTCACTACTCAAGTGGTTCCATACCACTCCCTTGTGCTTTTTATAGGTTTCAGTCTAATCCCAGTTTTTACAAAGGTTTCAGCTGAGTCACCATGCTTTCTTAAACAGAGGATGATATTGAACCAAACCTCACTTCGGCACAAAATAAAACTGTGATAAAAGAATTTAGGGATAAAAAGACCTTAATACCTAGATGATATTGAAATTGTAGACAAGCACATTCACTTGACTAGCATAAGACTTTAAATTAAACAGCACCAGCACATCATCTCAGCCAAGATGAGCACAAGTTCCACCTACAACTCTACCTGGGTATTGAATCAGAGCCTGTAAACCACCATTCTTGTCAAACATTGCAATCTTTTGGACTGGCCCAAAAGCAGAGAAAACCTGCAGAGTCAGGCAGAGGAAGATAAAAATAAAAAGATCTTATTCACTAAACTTCCAGATCAAATTGAACTCTCAAAAGCATATTAAAGTGGTTTAACATACCATGTGCAAGACATCCAAGGTTACAGCATACTGCATGTTTTCAATAGATGCAAGAAGAACATTACTCTCAGGCTCTAGTTTTTTCCCATCCAAGCCCACACCAAACTGCAAAACATAAACGCATATCTCAGTAAATCATAAGTCAGCAAGCACAGAAACCCTTGGCAGTGGGCCTGCACCATGCTGCTGTGCATGAAAGGAACATTCCCAAAAAAACAGAATTTGAAAAGCTCAGTATGGCACATACAAAGAAGCCAGAAGATATATAATATCTTTACTCCCTCAAATCATTATTAAGCTGCTCCACAAACATTACCTGTCCACTTCCATCTATGGCTGATGAAGCAACAGGAAGGTAAGGATTTGTGTAGTCTCTAAAGCAAGAAAAAGGTGCAGTTAAAATAATGAAAAAGAAAAACAAAGATTGCAATAGAAATAAATTAACTCAAAAACAGCAAGAGAGAGTACAGGGGCAAATAAAAAATGAAAATTGCACAAAAGAATAAGCAACACCTGCTCCTGTGGCTTTGGAACTTAACGCTTAAATCTGTATGTCCGGAATATGTGATTCTAAGGGTACATGGTCCCACGTGCTCAGGAAGCAGATACCTGATACGAAGGTAATACAATACCAACCAATCATCATAAGCCAACAAAACCTTTGCAATAATAATGCCCTGCAGGCACAACTTAATCATTGGAGCAACGGGTTGTGCTAATAACCACAAATTTGCAGGCACAACTTAATCATTGGAGCAAAGGGATGTGCTAAGAACAGTCAAGAACATGAACTACAACATGAACCAGAGGAAGAGAACTACATATAACCACAGGCAACAGCTCGTGTTATCAGGCAGCAAGGGTTCCTGCCTCTTTTGGACCGACCAAACCAACCCAAGGGCCAACAATGCATTTTCCCTCTCTTAAATTAAAATATATATATATATATATATATCTTAGCATCTTGGTCACAATCCCAAAGAAAATATAGCAGGCTTAAACCTTCCATACAGTCCCACAAAGCTTCAACTGGGAAAGAACATGCTTAAACAACCTTACAATATAAATATTGACGGAGCACAAGACACAAATTATATTCATATACTGAAATACAGGGATGGCCGATTAGTTACTAGCCCAACAGATGTCAACAACGCAATTTTTTTACATTCAAGACGGTCTTCGAGATGACATAACTAACCATGATACAAAAGAAATTAAACCAACACGTCCAAATTTCATCAGATATAGAATATAAGCTAAAATGTGATTGTGTAACAATCCCACTAGTGATCTAATTGCATGCATGCACCAATTCTATAACCTTAAAGTCAACAGCAAATGAACAGAGTACCATGTCAAACAAGTAACGCAAGGGATACCTAGGTATACTTCTACCATCCAACGCATCCTTTGCAGAAGTGGCTGTCTCTGCATCTGAAAATTGCACCAGAGCCTGAAAATGGTATATAAAATAAGCTTGAGCTCACGATCTATACATGAATTTCTCTCAATCAACAAAATTGAACTGTGAATAAACCTGGAATCCTGCTGTCTTTTCAAAGGTAGTAATCTTATGCACAAATCCAAAGGCTGAAAATACCTGCATCAGCAAATAACCTACTTTGAAAATGATACATAGCTAGTTCCTATTAATTGAACATAAAACGACCAATTCTGATGCCTGTTCAAGTTCTGATGTAAAACTGAACAAATAAATTAAATCTAGAAATCCAGATCCAAGAAATAAATCCATTACTTACATAAATTTCCTCACTTCTTCCATTACCACATTGTGCAGACGGAGCAAAAAGCATCAATGAGAAAAGGAAAATTTACAAACTATCACAACAGATAAGAAAGCATGAAGAAACAAGTATAAGATTGTCAAAGGTTTATCCGAAAAAACGTAACAATAACAGTTTACAAAAAATTGAAGAAAAGAAAGTTTCGCAGAGTGATTTACTCATATCATGGCTTTCAGAAAACAAACTTGCTTCACCAAATTAATTAACAATAGGATGGAGATAAAATTATCAGTCAGGACTTAAATTCAAACAACAGCTGTATGAAAAAATTGACCACCACTAGGTTCCCAACTATAAATCACGTGTTAACCAAGCATTTGCCAACATTAAAAGAAAAAAGTTTGACCTACTTTCAGGAAGACTGGTGAAGTCTCAACCTCATGAAACAATAATATTAACAAGATTAAAGTACTGATTAGAACAGAACCAGCAAATGAATCTACACAAGCAAAATAACACGACAGATCATGAGTCCGCAACACACAAGAGGGCAGAAAAAGCCACGCAACAGCCTAAGCTACAGTCTATAATAATGGTAGGAGTTGTGGGGAGAAGAGGGAAGAAAGAGGCAGTTTTAAGGAAAGGAGAAAAGAGACAAACACACATGCGCTCTTTCTCATGCACTAAGCTGCCATCGAAGATATTGCCTTGACATGGGCCTGCTGATTCATTTGCATACATGTCAACAAAAGCTTTCCATAGCATGACAAAGCAAAACCTAATAACAAAACTAAACAACCAGCATCCTCATGGTGACAACTGTATATTTCACGAACGGATAACCAAGAAATTGCTTACCAAGTGCAAAACATCAATACTGACTAGGCGTGCATCTGCACCTTCAATTGTTACCAACAGTACATTTCCGGCAACATCGGCAGCAGTTTTGTTATTCACTATTTCTTGCCTATTGGAATATTGTAGATATACAGTTTTTCCCCGAACTTGAGCAGGCTCCGAGGATGAGGCATAATATGATATCATAGCGATGGCTTGATTCAAATCTGCCTAAAGAAGATAAAATACATTATTTGTCACTAATAAGTATTAACTTTTTCTATAAGGTTAAATAAAACAAAATGAAAAAAACATAATCCACTCACAAATTCAATAAAAGCTTGATTTCGATTCGCTCCAACATTGCACTTTGTGTTCACAACTTTACCAAATGGTTTCCCAAGTTCAATCAGTTCCTCTTCTGTGCACTCCCACGGCAAGTTTCTCAAATGAAGCACCTTGGATGGCGGCTGCGTGTAACGGAACTGTGGTTGACTAGACACCGATGCCATTACAGACAATAATCTTAAGCCTGTTGAGAGGAACCAGAAAATATTGAGGTCACTTGAACTACAAATCATTCACAATCATAAATCAGGTAAAGCAGGCATAAATAGCTTCAAAAGGACAACTAACTACTTCCTCTCTGACCATTTACGAAGTCAACAACCTTGGACACAAGCAGATGGGGCAAGGGGGGCAAAGCCGACAGTCAAAAATTTATGAAAAATCACACTGCAGACGCAATTACAATTCCGAAAACAATAGGCCATGGATAGAATGGAAAGAAAGACGCAATACCAATTAAAATGATATCCTCGAAATTAAAAGTTAATTCACATAAATGATTTCAAGGGTTGGCAATATGCCCATGTATGAACAATCGATTCTAAGCTGTTAAAAAAAAAAACGCTTGGTCTAATCATGATCCAAGATATAGGATAGAGCGAAGGAAAAGAAGAAGATATGGACTGAATGGGAGAAAAAAGAAAACGAAAAGAAGTGAGAGGAAATCGGGAAGCAAGACAGGAAATAACAATTGCCTGAAAGAATCGGAAGAGAAGATGTCCGGTACGTGTTGTATTGCCCGGATTAGGGTTCCGAGAAGACGCAAACTTCGATTCGTTGAGAAAGGGAGAAGGGTCAATGGGGGAAGGATCCTCTCGACTCGACGTTACCTCCGTCTATCTCCTTGTCCCGTGGGCCGTAACTCGTGAGATCAGTCTGTTGTGGATCAATCGAATATGCCCTTTTAACGGCAAAAATCCAACAAGCGCGCCCATATATCAACCAACCTATCGCCTGCTCCGGGGAAAAAATTTAAAGTATTTTTTAAAAATTATAAAATATTTTTAATTTTTTAAAATATAATTATTATCTTTTTTTTTAAAATATTTTTATTAATAATAAATTTATATTTATTATAAAAATAAATATAAAAAAAATAAAGTTAATTAAAAAGTAAGTAACTACTTTATTAAGAGGTGAGATTCGATTAAAAATGTTTTATATTTTTCAATGGAGGGGCTATCAATTATTTGAAAACAAAGATTATTATTCTAATTAAATTAAATATGTTTAATTATTTTAGTTTTCAATTTTTTTCATAATGCATATACCAATTTTAAATTAAGAAATAACTTCAATATTGTTAATATAATAAATAAAATAATATTTTAAGGAATTTAGGGTCTTTGTTTTGTAAATAATTATGCTTCCTTTTTAAAGTTGAAATTCGTAAGTTTTTAAAAATTTTCCTTTTTAGGTATTTTTCTTATTTTATTATTTTTATAAAATATAAAATCTTTTAATTTTTTTCAAAAATAAATTTTCCAAAATTTACAGATCTTAATTTCAAAATATTTAAATTTAAATCCACTCCAAGTTTGGTTTGGATTAATAAAAAAATATAACTTTAATTTATGTACTTTATTCGCATTTTGCTATTAATCTCTATATTTTTTTAATATCTTTGGTTTATGTACTTTTATTTTTTATTATTTTAAATCTCTCCATAAATAAAATAAAGTGACCTTAGAAGAACTTAAAATAATAAAAAAATAAAGATACAAGAATCAAGAATATCAAAAAAAGTATAAGAACTAATAATAAAATACAAAGACCTAAAGTTATATTTTTTCATAAAAAAATAAGTAAAGAGGAAAGATTATTAAAAAAAAATACTTTCAAAAAAGGTGAAATAAGAATTTTTAAAAAAAAATTCCATCCATATTAAAGATAAAGTGTTTTTGTTCTTTTTAAGTTGGAGAGACAAGCGCTAGACTTGAGGACCAGCTTTGAACTTTTAAGCTTTGATTCGTGCTGATATTATCCCATTATATCACAATGTATACTTTAGTGTTTTTTTATTAAAATAAAATAGAAAAATATTTTATTAATGAGGGTTAGATATAACAAAATGAACTATTTTATGACAACTTGACGAAGTTCAAATCAATGGTCAACCTGCTTCAAATAGATTCTCCCAATAATTTATTAATTTCAAGAAGGAAAAATTAAGGAATTATTTCGTTTCTATTCTCATTTTTAATTTTTAAAAACTATTTTATAATATAGTTTTTAAAATTATTTTTCAAAACAAAACAATATAAAAATATGTTTGGTTATGTTAATATAAAAATAATTTTAAAATTAAAAAATAGTTTGATAATAATTATTATACATGATTAACGATGATAATTTATGATAAAAATTTGTTAATATAATTACAATTTTCAATAATAAAATGTAATATATATTTTAAAATAATAAAAATAAAATGAAAATAACTTAAAGTTATTTTTATCTTTCTGTTTTTAAAAACAAAAAAATGAAAACAGTTTTGCAAAGAAGTAAATAAAAACACTTAATCAAACAAGTTTTTAAATTTTTTTTTGTTTTTAAGAAACAAAAAACAGTTTTTAAAATCAAAAAACAAACATGCTCTAATACATCAATTCTTATATTTTATTAAGTTTTCCATCAAGTTCCTAATTTTTTTCCCTTTTATCACATTCTTGTACTTTACTCCGTCTAAGGCATCCATCCTTCGGCTTGAAAAACAGTGAGTGCAGCAACGCGTTGAAGAGTGTAATGTGGCAGCGAAAAAAAAAAAAAGAAATTAAGAATAAGTGCAAGCTTGTTCTATATTTCTTATTGGTTTTTTTTTTCAATTATTATTATTATAGTTGTATGTTTCAAGGCAATCAAGGATCTCTTCGATTTTGAAGACCTGGGAAGGGGCAATTTTTCTCGAGGGAGAGCACATACGAGTCCCTTTTATAGTATTTCTTCCTTTTTTCTTGAAGTTAGCGTGGCATATAGCCAAAACTCGAGATACAATTTCAAAACTCAAACCAGGGGAAAAAAATACGTTGGAGAGCAGGGTAATGGCTCTGGAGTGGAAATGTTTAGGGTTAAAACAAAGGAACGAGAACCAGTTTTCAAGAGGAAGCACATAAAAGAATCTATTCAAGAGCATGAGTCCTCCTAATTTCATTAAAAAAAAAATCTAAGCTTAACTCAGGGGAAGACCATGTTCTTCAAGAAGAGAGGGAGGGATCCGTTCGAGAGTTGAAGATGTTACATGGCCATTCGAGGGTCTTGATCAACTTAGCCCAAAAAACACAACAACTTAAGCTTAAAAGGCTCAACTTTGTGTGGAAATACATGTCCGCTCATTCACCTATCTCAAGCTAGTGTTTGGCTTTGATGTCATCTCCACTCAAAAATAACGCCGATGCAATTCAAATCTTCAATTTCAAATTTGAACCAGAAATCCCACAACAAGAAAGCAAGGGAGAAAGAAAACCAAAACCACGTGCTTTTGAAGCTGATATCTTTCTCACTTAGGGTATATTTAGTTAAGAGTTTTTAAAAAAGGTGAAAGAAGATGCTCTCCTCTCCTTATTTGATTAAAAAATTTTGAAAGGCTCTCACCTTATATTGCTCCCCTCCAAATTAGGGTTTTTTGGAAGGGAGCTAATTTTTTTGACGATTTTGCCATTATTTAATTTTTAATATTATAAGCATACCTATAATTTAAAAAACTCTCCTTCAAATCAAATTGTATTTTAGTTTTAGACCTTGATTGACCTTATTGAATTTTTTTAAAAGAAGTTACATTTCATCATATTTTATTGTATATTTAGTTATTTATTTTTTATAAAAAATTATTATCGTTATAATTATTGGTTTGATTTTTTCTTCACATATTGACAATATGATAGAATGAGAGCGAAATTTTAAAAAATCATGTAATTTAAATTAAGGTGTAAAATTATTTTATATAAAAAAGAAAAAAATTTAAACTAATGTATAAGGATGTAATAATAAATTAGTTATCATCTCCCCTTCTCTCCCTCCTGAACCAAATAAAGAATTATTAAAAACTATTTTTCTCACTTCAAACAAAATTAAATAAGATAATATTAAAGCTTTTTCCTCCCTTCGAATCAAACACACTTGTAGACGCACACAACATTGACATTCCTTCCGACTTCTCAAAGTATAAGAAGACAACTGAGCAACCTGAACCAGAATAACCAAGATAACCGGACTTATATATAAAGGCCCACCCAAGCTCATATATCTGTGTTATAATTTGTCCGCACGTATGCACATTCATCAGCCACATAACTAGTCATTATTTAACGTTCTAATTCTTTTAAAGATAGATGCCTCAAAACCAAGTGAACTTGATAAAAAAGAAAAATACCAAGGTCCTAATTAAAAATTCATAAATTCAGTGAAATTAAGAGGGCTGGCACAATAGTTCTCCCTTTTAATAGCATCCCTCCCCCTGTTGCCTTTGGTGATACTACTGTTGAATAGCACCAAAATTAATAAAAACTATATTTTACAGTAAAGCGCAACCTAGGTCGTCTCCCTAAGAGTCAATAGAGCAACTATTTGAATTATGGTTATGAAAAGGTAAATGATGGGGGGTTTTTTTATGATGAAATTAATAAAAAAAATCTAAATTAAAATTAGATAAATAACGAAAATTCAACTGAGAAAATTATCAAGAACAAGCAACGCAATCAATCACAACCCAATCACCTAAATTTAACCTTCCTCGTCCACGAAATAAATTAATTTTATTCAACTTTATTATTCTGGTTTCATTATATATTTCTCAAATTATCATTCAAGGATTAAACAAGAAGTTAAGTTATAGATTAATTGAAATCTCCCTTAACCCACAACCTAACAATTGTTTTATAGCCACACCAAAAACAAAGCATGGATAATCACCCAAGCCAAGCCAAATTACTCTTACAATGCTATATCAATCGATTATAGCAATTAAAACCTCAGATAAAATTTATAACCCAAAAATTATGCAGTAGAGCTACTCTAATCAGCAATAGCAATTAAGGCATAAAATTTAGAGGTAGAGAGAAGAAGAGTAAATTGAAATAAAGTTAGAATAAAATCTCCCCTAAATATTAAAGACTCTGATTAAAATTTAGGATCATAGTTTGTGATTGATCACACCAAGAAAATTAGCTCTCCATAGAACTAAAAATCAAACAACATAAGATAAGAAATTGAGAAGCCATGCTGGAGGAATCGAAGAAAAAGTGAACCGCAATCGCCGCTATCCTGTGATTTTTTTCCATGATGCCTCTGGTTCTTTCTTTTTTTCAATTCGTCCAGTGATGCCTCCGTGACGCGTCCGTTCCTCTCTTTCATATATATATATATATATATATAATGTCATGCGCCTCTCCTGCTGCGTCTCTTCCAAAAGAAAATAAAATCTAATAATTTACTAAAATGATAAAATTATCCTAAATAACCCTAATTAAAAACTACACTAAAATACTCAAAGTAAATTTAAACAAAATTTTAAAGATTTAATTCTTGATTTGATCTCTAAACATGCCCAGATTCTTCTTATCCAAAATATTCTCTATCAATATCTTCCAAATTGAATCTAAGAAATCTGCACAAATAAAATAAAATTAAATAGCACCTGTGCAAAAATATTAAAGATATTATTTATATTTTAAAATCAAAGATTTAGTTAGTTAAAATTCTAAAACTGAATATTAGCTAATAAAATCAAATAATATCTCATTAAACTCAATTAGCCTTAAATAAATATTTAAAAGTCTAAATTAAAAGAATAAAAATATATAAAATTATCATTTATCATTTGGCTATTAGCATTTGTACTATGCTTGTGGAAACAAAAAAGTGGGAAAGAAAATAACATGTAGAACTCATATGTTTTTACTTTCAACTCTCTCTACAAATATAAAAATATTTTGAAGAAAAAATTTTATTTTTAAATTTACTTATCAACTTTAAATTTTATATTTAATAATAAAATTTTATTAAACAAGTAATATATTTAATTTTTAAATTAATTAGAAAAATGTTAATTTTAAATTTTCAGTTAAGTTCCTTATATTTAATTGTAATATCAAAATTTTAATATTATTATGTATTTAATAATTTAATAAATAAAACTATAAATTGGATAAAATAATTTTTGGTCGATACTGAATAAAATAATTTGTAATTATATTTTTATTCTATCAATATAGGATATAAATTATTATATATATAATGTATTAAGATATTAAATTTTATTATATATAATATTTTCATAAATAATAATTATTATTTATATAGAATTAATAACTTTTTTTCTTTCCTATTTTCTTTTGCTGAGCTCAGCACGGTAAAAGAAAAATTCTTCTCTTCGCTTCCTCTTCTCCAATTTTTTCTCCTTTCCAATTTTCCTAACGAGCCAAACGCAGCATTAGCATTAGCGCATGATCCTTGTACAGGGGGGAAAAACAACACTTTCAGAAAACTCGTGCATCTTGCCACGCGAAAGTAATAACATTGTTATTATTAATGATAAGTAATCCTCCACATAACGGCACTGGCAAGCAACTTGCCGTCTGTATCTTGAAAAGAAAAGGGTCCGCGAAAGAAATATGAAAAATAAATAAAAAAAAGGAAGTGGTAATAAGTGGTGACAGGCAGCATCATGGAGTCTGGGTTTGGCCAATAAGAACATCCTTGTAAGGAGTAGGAGAAGGCTCGGCGATTTTGTTGGCGTCTGCCACCTGACGCCCTCTCCTCCTCTGATCTTCCAGAATCAGAGGGACCCGTCCTTCCTGTGCCCCTCCCCGAAGCTTCTCCAGCCTCAGTCCATCCGTTTGTTGCATCTTGAACACTTTCACTACATTTGTCATTCCACCCATGAACAGCAACATGCTTCCAAAGATCTCAAGCCACACCCAAGTCCCGCCCTGCATCCATCATTAAATCAACCAATAGTCATCAAACTACATCTCATCAGAAGTCATCATCATCATCCACCACACTCTGCCATGAGACACACACACACACACACACACAGAGCAGATGCATGTTGCTCTCATCGTATATCCCACACAGCATGTAGCTAGAGAAACTATAAACTGACCATTTCGAAGTCAGGATTTTCTATTTTGTGGTTCAACTTGATTCATATCCAATATCTGCCATTTTGTTGATCAAATGAATTAGACCGAAGCCACCAAACCACCTCACTCAGTTTCTAGAATATAGGTTGAAGCCACAGCTCAACCAAGCTTGTATAAGGAAAAGAATCTATGGCTGCTTTCACGAACACTTGCATCAACATTAAGAACGACTTGGTCGTTAAAAGTCTGCTAGCATATTAGTCCTTTTATGAAGTCAACCAGATAATGTTCAAAGGGTTTGTTGCAACTCAGGATCAAACTGTCGATTTGGTCTTTTCTCAATAACACAAATTAAATACTGTGGGCTTCGGTATCTTGATCACACATTCTAATATGAGCATATCGTTTATTTCTGCTGACTAATATGCACGCACCATTTGCCAGACAGCAGGGATATTAAGCAATAAGCAACTAAAGGAAATAGAATCATTCATAGAAGACAACTTACAAGCAAGTGAAGGCCATGGCGGATCGCGCCAGACTGCTCATAGTAATTGAGAATAGCAGCAAGCAAGAATAACAGACTCCCCATCAGAAATGGGATGTGCACACTCTGCTGCAAGATTTGAACATGCCCGTCCGCTCTCTCATAGATTTGGCATGAATTGTGGATCGATCCTATCGCCCATAACACAGGCCCGGCGAATAGCAAGTTCAGAGCATGCCTCTCTAATTTGAAGTAGCCATATCCTTTCTCCTCCTTCATTTTGTGCAATAACAACCACCCTTAAGGTAAAAAAAATGTAAATTTCACAAATTATCAATATCTAATTACATAAGAAGTGCTTGCGATCAGGCTATCGTGACAATTTCAACGAGACATGTAGGGGAGCTACACACTGTAGTTTAGTCGTTCAAGTGGGTCCACTGGTTCGCCAACATGTTTCTACCTAAGTCTTATTGAGAAATTGTAAAAACAAAACTCTTCCAAAAAAGTTGAGAAAAACTTCACCCATGTTTTACCTTTTTTGTTTTGGCCAAAATCTATGTTTTACCTGAATGAAAATGAAGAAAATCCCTAGAAAGGAGAGAAGCGAGCCCACAGCCACAGTTACTGGAACTCCGAACTCGACAAGTGCGAGCTGAAGGTCGAACTCCATCAAGGTTAACTGAAAATCGGTTCCGGCTAGATGCGCGATTAGATCGTGGAAATTGACGATGAGGATGAGGCCGAAGGCAATGAGTAAAAGGACGAGACCGGATTTGGGTTCGGAGGAGAACTGAGCCGCAAACCCGCAGGTGAGTACTACGGCAGCGAACAAATAGAGACCCGCATTGATGTACTCGTAGCGGTTCCGGGTCATCCCGGGTCCATAGGTCCGGAAGTCTCGTGCCGACGCGAGCTTCACCATTCCGATCAGAAATTCCCAGTGCATTGAGAAACGGTGCCTGGGCGCGGTCGAGAAAGACGGGAGAGGGACCGCGTTTGTTGTTACGGAAGCGAGAGAGAGGGACACGTGGCGTCGTGCATGGAGTTCCGAGTTCTGTTTTACACTGTGACACGTGGAAGAACTGGAACTCCCTTATGATAACGGACTGTTCCCTTATGATAATGGACTGCCTATGTCCCATTTAGCTCGGGCTGGATTCGAACTCTCACGCTTCAATCTTCGCGAGCCTAGCTAGCACATCGATGATCAACAAAAAGTAAAAAGGAAACAAGGAATAATGGCGGGTTGATTTCTTGTTTTGATAACAGTTTTTTTAAATAAAAAATGTTTAAAAATATGTTTTTAGTTATGTGTCGTGAAAAAAATTAAATTTATAATAAAAATAAAACAATCAATTTTTTATTATTAATAATATATTAATAAAGCAAATATTCTAATATATTTTTAAAATAATAACTCGAATATATTTTATTTTTTTAATTTATTATTTCTAAAACCTATTTTAAAAATTTACTCGAATTGTTTTACAAACATAAAAAAATAATCAAGCACCCCCAATATCATATTTTGATTCTCAAAATCTTGTTTCCATTTTAAGGAGGATCTGCTCTGGTGCCTTTCGTTTTGGTTGCTTTAGTGATTAAGTAGAAATGTATATTTAAGCACATGGTAGATTGGTACGGATGTACCGGTTTATGAACTGGATAATAATGCAATTGGTGTGGGACGACGATACCATATCATAAGACGACAATGAGGGGCGAAGAACGAGGACGAGGGTGCGCGCAGTAGAAAACAGCTGGATGATTGGAATGTTGAGAAGTGCTGGGATGCCAAGCAATGTGAATCCAAGCTAGCCATAGACTAGGACCGGTGTGGAGAGAAAGAGCATTGACACTCAAACGCACAATTCGTGAGACCGCCAAACGCTCAAGAACGAGAGACGGGGCCCTGATGTAAATTACAAGAGAATAGTTGAGAGTGACGCGTTTTTCACAGAATCAAACCAAGCTTGCAAAAACTTTTGACAGTCCCTGTCCTCGTTTGTGCATTCGAGGGGCTTCAGTTTTAGACAAGTTTACTGTTTGAGACTGGTAACATTTAATCATCGCAACTTCATCTTTTGGTTCCCACCCCCAGGTTTCATTGTCTAGCGTGTCCACGTCCTCCTCCCTGCCATACTAGGAAATCTATGTTAAAACCTATCTTTATAGACAAAATTAAAGTAAAAATTAAGATTTACATTTAGAAACAAAAGAAGCATTGCATTAGAATCACCCATAACACACTGATAGTAAAACAAGAGCAAGAGTCATCTACTTAACTTCATATATTTAATATATTTATATGCAATTAAATCATGGCAAGTAAACCTTAATATGTTAACTAAATTAATAACAAAATTTTATTATAGTATAAATAATTTATAAAAAATTCATATATCTTGATTTAATTGAAAACAAAATCAAATATTTGACTTCGATCAAATATATATATATATATATATATATAAGGTTAACTATATATATTTTTTTAAATGAAATGCTGCTTTAATTGGAAGAAGCCCTGCAGTAAGCAGAAGAATTACGCACCTTCAACTTTTTTTTTTTTTGGGGTTTCCAACACCGACTACACGGAATTCAAACCCAATGCCTGAATCCCACTTTTTTTTTTCAAACGCCAAAAAGAAGGAAAAAAAATGGAGAGAGAAAGAGATAGGAATGTCAAAGCACTGCTTATACAGGCTTGGTGACAAATTGTTGGTGACTCATAGGTTGCTATTGGTTGTCGCATGTGAATTTGGCCGCTTTCTTTCAATTAAATCCTGGAGCCTCGAAATAACTTTTCTGTATTCTGGAATGTGGTCATGAACTTTATCCCAATAGTTTAATAATAGCTTGCACAATCATTCTGGTTCCGTATCTGATTTTGTTGCTCGAGTTGTATATATTAAGCTACATGATACTGTTCGATGGATCGCGTGCATCCCAACTATATGTATTTATATATATCATAAAAAAAGTATCAGAAGATTCTGAAGTGTTGAATTTGAATGTCACTTTATATTATTTGGCAAGTTATACTCCCAAATACAAACAAGCCATGCGTTGGAAACTTGAGCTGGGTGGCAAAAACCAGTTCTCAGGGAAACAAAGCACGTCCCCATGTATTAGGAAGCACACTAACTTTATGCGATAATACGATCATGAAAATACTAGCTCTGAACAATAAAGAAGACTTTATTTTTCAAGACCCAGACAGGAAACCGAAAATTGTTTGGGCAAAATTTTCAGCCTTGTCGTTGATCAGGAGTTGGTCTTGCTTGGATCATTTGTGATCTTCATTTCTAGTTCTCCTTTTTCCAAATCCGCCATTATTTCTGAGCCTTCCTTTACCACATCTATCTTTTCCAGGTCCTGCCCGTTTGGTTCTTCAGCGACTTTTCCTTTCCAGTACTTGCAGTGAAGTACAAGTTGCAGAATGGCCAGAGGAGCTCCGATCACACTTGGTCCCTGTCAAAAGTTGGGAAAGTGATCTGTTAAATCAACATGCTCAATCGATCTTCTTCTGAGCTTTAGGAAACCAAGAACAGTAGAAGAGACCAGAATACGAACCGCAACGAATATGTCGCGGATCAGAAGTCCGTATGTCAACCAAAGGACACTAGCCAAGAACGAGCACAGCGATAATGGCAATGGCATGAATTCCACGCTCTTGCTTTGTATAACTTTTTTCTGCAAAACGAAATCGAAATTGTGTTATACAATCCTCTGTTTCTGGCTTGGTCAGTCACTCAAGTTAAAGAAGACAATATAATCTTACTGTAATGACTGCTAACTGACTTACCATGACAACAAGAGGAGATGCATACATTGCCACTGAAACACCGAGGCCGATGCTACCCACGAGAAGCTTCCTTTGACGACTGTCATGGAAGGCAAAATTTGAGACGATAGCGATGATGCAAAACGCTACGATAACTGGCATCGCTGTCAAGGCCACCTTCACCTGCAATGTACACGGGATATATCAGAAGCCATGTATTTTATACCGAATCTGCGATTGGGCAAGCAAATATAGCAAGTTTTATTTCTGCAGCAAGTTTTTGGTAAGTCTTGTATCGTCTTCTTGTGCATGCAAGTTATCTGTTTGCAGCCAAAGCAAATACTGACTTGTTTAACGAAAGCTATGCGTTTTTGTTTGCATATGAACAAGGGAAGAACTTAGGCTATAGAAGAGAGTTGAGCTAGCAAGCAAGTTATTACCTTTCCTTTTGCAGAAGCATACCAGAAGTAGATGAGAACGTAAGATAACTCAAGAACAATCCCAACGCCATTGACCGTGACCAGAGGGAAATTTTCCCATTTGTAGCTCACAACAGGTAAGCCATACCATGTGAAGAGGAGACAGTTCAGGAGTCCGATGATGTAAGGAAGACATGAAAACTCCTCAGTACTTTTCTTCCTTATGACCCTTTTGAAAGTAACCCTGCAGAAAGAAACCGCGAAGAGCTCTTTTAAGTAATGTTTGATTTCCACGGCTGCAAAAGGGAGAAAAGAAGAAGCTCTGGAGAACTAATTGAAGGGAAGTTTATAACATACGTTGGAGCAGCATAGAGGGATACCGAAGCAGCATTCCCTGCAAAACAAAGAGGGAAGAAACAGAAGAATGAATCACCTTTTGTTGAAGATCACTCGCACATCAATCAGTAATACTGTATAATGATTAGACATCAGACTACTAAGAATGAAGCATTACCAAGAACTGCAACGGCCATGCGAAAACTCTGTGCCATCTTTAGTTCTGTGATATGTAATGAGACGAGATGAAGAATGTATGTTATGAAGAAGAGCTCGGAGGCTGCTGTATTTATAGCTCGTCGAGAGTACTGTTGAGCGCCTAGTGGCAAATTTAATAATGTCTCTCTTTGAAGGAAAAAGAAAAAATAGAATATTTTATCGAAAGAAAGAGAAGGTGCTGTCTCCGTCTTTTAATTAATAAACTTGTCGACGCGAAACTTTGCTCAATCGGCTTGCTCTATACACAAGAGGCTACTACCTAATTCCCCTATTAATTTTCATTTCTAGTTTCATTCTTTGGAGGATAACGATACAGTACAGGCACAGAATGCGCGTAAATGGTTCTACATGGCACCAGAACTGTACCATACGTTTTTGACAAATATACTACTCATGTAAAATTTTGAGAATTGATTTGTTTTCTGGGTACAATTTGTTAAGTGGTTTCTACTTTTTGACAAATATACAATTAATGTAAACTTTTGAGAACTGATTTATTTTCTGGGTACAATTTGTTAAATGGCTTCTGCCTTTGGTGATGGCATAGCATTAAGTACACCAATAATGAGTTAAAAAAATTTTACTAAATGAAGGGCCTTGTTATTGGTGATGTGGCCTCCATTTTCTAGAGATATGGGATTGTATTTGGGTGCCAGCAGAGTGATGATGAGTTCATTATCTCAGACCTTCCCGTTGTGCAAAAAGGAAAAATGTCCTTATTCAAGAAATGCCTGCAGAGTTTGATTGCTCGGTGGGAATGAAAAAGTTAAACTGAAGGTGATAGTTTATTATGGCTAATATATGATTCATTCACCATTATCATGTCCATTTGATTCACATTATCATTCTGTTTTGCAATTACATGGGTTTTTCATCCTCTTTTATTTTTCCCTTTTTTAAACCACCCTCTTCTCCCCGTGAAGTAACAAAACGAAAAGTGAAATCAAGGGGAATGCTTTGAGGGTACGGTTTTGAATTCTTGCACGTCAATGGGATGTGGCATGGCGTCTTATTATATTATTACACAATTGCTTTCTTTTGACAGCAAACAAGTATCTGTATCAGAATGACCGCCAATTCTTGCTAATTAGTTAAACCAACTCGGTTGGGACGCAAAGTTTTTTTTTTTAAAAAAAAAACACTATGCTATTTATTATCTGATAGGATAAATTAATATCATGGTTAGGAGTTAAAATGATGAGAAGAAAATTAAAAAGGAAAGCATCGTTGGTTTTACTGCTCTGAATTTAGCAGAAGAAATTACGAGAATGATATTACAATTAAACCGCAAAAAGTGGGTTATGTTTGTTATGGTGACACCAGAGAGAGAAGCATGGAGAACTAATTACTTCATCCCTCTGAAAACGCATGAGCTAGTTAACTAATTCTCATGGATTAAGCAAACTGGATAAGTTAAATGAAAAAGTTTGTGCTAGTCTTTTTAAACACCATGTTAATCATTATTTACATCAGAGTATTATTAAATTATATATATATATATATATATATCATACAATAACCTAACTAAAGGGTAGTTTAGAAAAAATACTAAATATGGGAGACAAATAAGATTGAGATCTTAGATCTAGGATCAAACCAAATCTCTTAACTAATAACTCCTACGTGTGTAGGAGCGGAGGGAGTATTGAGATTAACATACAGGTGAAGCTCGTTCTGTATAGTGGAATATTGTTCCTAATAAATTCGATGAAAATTAAGATAGAAGATCTAGATAAAAGATTGTGATATTAAATTCTTAATCTATCCGTGACGCGTGATCAATAAGTTGATATGTAACTGTCTGGAAATTCAATATCCTCAAACCCAGCAATGGGGGATTTATGATGCTTTTGGATTTCATCTTTGGTTTTTGCTGATGCCACTGATCAAGTGGACAAAAGGAAACTCATTTTTGACTCAGTGTATATCTGGACCTACTCTTTCCTCCGAAATTTCACCTGCGCCAAGCTGGGAGGATAAATTTTCACCCACAACTAGCTGGAGGGGTCAAATTTACAGCACCACTTTTCTGATCATAAATATAGACATGCGACAAAGCGAGGTTTTCCTGAGATATTTTTTAGTTTTTCTTTCAAAATTAGATCTTTTCCAAAAACAAAAAAAACAAAAATTTCTTCCCGGGTGTGTACTGGGATGCTGACGGATGAAATATATGATATATCCACTTGGTGAATCATGACGATCGTAGACCGTTCAATTGAGTAAAGCGAGCATAGCTCGTGCAGTCGTGCATATTCGAATTGGTCTAGCTGGTTCTGTGGATGGATCAGCTGCTACACGTAAAGTGACATTGATATATATCATTATCATGTATGACTGTGAGTAAATATATCAAGGGAACATATTCTGAACCCAGAAAAAAGAAACAATACAAACCCCTTCTGTTTGATTTATGAAAAGCTCTTGTAATATTCCCATTTGATGTTGATACTTAGGCGCAGCCTTTGTTTTCTGCACATGCTCCTGCTAAAATGATTTTATGTTACAATCTTATTTTTCATAGATAAGAACAAGACTATGGTACAATCATTTTTTGATATCTATAGCAATGCATCGATACTTTTAAAAGTATATGGATATTTTATATCAAATGTACATAATACTATATAATATAACAGGATATTTGTTTTGTGTTTATAAACATGTATACTAATACATGTCACTTTACTTTTGGCTGTGTCTTCTTTAAGTTTGATAATAAAATATATAATCTTTTGGATTTTTAAAGTAAAATTATGAATACAAAATAGGCTTTACCTATTATATCATCATAAGTACTGAAATACTTCCTTAAATCTCTATTATAAGATACTTTTAAATATGTTATCAGAATCAATAAAAAGTGGTTAAATCATTATTTTTCTTGAAAATAGAATAAAATTTTAATTTTATTGATATTTAAATAAAAAATTTAAATTTACATTATATATTCTCTTATAGTTAATAAATTTAAATAAAAGTAAGTGGGAAAATATAATTAATACCCCCACCAAGTGTCTTATATTGAAAACTAAAAAATTATTATAAAAATTGTCCTATAATAGGGATCAAAAGAAGTGTGCAATAATTTTTCATGAGACCAAAAGTATTCTTTAACAATAATGAAAACTAATCTCAACTCCAAATTCTATAACATGAATTCTGTAAATATAATTTCCATGTTATGCTTTCAGAAGGAAGTATCAGGTGTTGTGCAAATTTAAAAAACTATCTCTCTAATTAATAAGGATATAATTATATTATTAGGATAATTTTAATAAATAAAATAATATACTCCCTTCGTTAAAAAGTATAAGTCATTTTTAGCCTAATTTTTTCCCTAATAAAATAGTTAACTATTTTCAAACTAATATCATCTTTTCATATTTATCTCTATTTAATATGATATTTTATTTTAAAATAAATATAAAGTAATTTACTGCCTCCAAACCAAAATATAAGACATTGATAGCTAATTCATGGTTTACAAAAATTGTTAGCTAAAACCTTAATTATTTAAAAAAATTACATCTTTTCAATTTTACCCTCATTAAATATCTTATATAAGTTCTTTGATAATAATAATTAAAATTTTAATGCATTATTTTTTCAAAAAAATAATAAATGAAGTAGGGCATAATTGAAAAAATAATTACAAAAGTTATCCGACACTATATATTTTGGATCAGTTAAGGTTTTTAAAAAAGTCCTATATTGTAGGTCGGATGAAATATTTTTTATAGACACTTTTAAAAAAAGTACAATAATTATATCTTGAAATACCAAAATTTTTATATATTTTTTAACATCCAACTCTTAAAAAAATACGTGAAATTTATGGATGGAGGGAGTAATACTATTTTTAATCTGCACATAAAATGTCTCAAATATCTTATATAAAGGACTCGAAAATGTATCTAAGTATCTTGCTGCCCATAGACTAAGTGGAAAATAACTTGTCATTTTCAAGTTGCCACGTCAGACTTTAGTTTTTTATTTTTTGCCTCATATGTATATCCCCGCAAACATGTGATAATATTGTATGACAAACAGCCCCAGGTTACGGACCAAAGGTTCTCGTGAAAATAGTTGAAGACTTTTTTTTTTTTTTAAAGACTAGAGGGATTCCTAGAAGATAGGTCAAATGTCACAAGAACCAAATCATTAGAAAGCTAGTACATTGGAACTTTTTTTTTTTAATTATGAGCAATTATCTTTTTATTAGAAGCAATCATGTTTGCGGGTACCAAATGTAAACATCTTTTTAATCAAGATTCAAGTTTTGATTAGCTATACTGTGAGAGATTATCACCTTCTAAGTACATTAAACTTTTTAATCATAAATAACTTGTATATACCGTATCAGCTTGAGAAAAGATATTGTAAACTTAAACTATATGTCATTGCTTAAAATATGCGTGATTGATGACCTTTTTCATAGTTTGGTATGTGTGTTATATGCATTCACTGCCAAATTCATTCTTCCACGATATAAAAGCATTTGGTGTGGACATTGGTACCTAATATGGTATCTACTTTACTTCGTGTTTAATGATAAAGATTATTTAAATTGAAAAATAACAATATAAAATTTAAAGTGTCTAACTTAAATATCAACTATATAATATTTGATATGTTGAATAAAAAAAATATAACATTTAATATACTGAGCTAAATAATTAGTTCGACTAGTTGAAAGAGCTAAATTAATTTATTTCAAAGTTTTAGATTCAAGTCTTAGGATATGTATTCATATGAATTTATTAGTATGATACCTAGCTAAGCAAATAATATATAGTAAATATAGTCAAGTTTTTCAATATACTAAATGATATAATGGAATAAAAAATAAATAAAAATGCAAATCAATGTTAGATTGAACTCTAAGATTATGGTGATTCTCTCTATTATCTTAACCTTACCCACAAGACTATGTAAGAGTAAAGTAAGAGATTTATCAATAGAAAAACACAATATTTTGTATATTTCTATAGATGGCCAAATTAGCTAATCAACCAAACAAGTAT